TGCACAAAAAAGGGCACTTAATTGTTTTGTACTTTAGTCCAACATAGGTTTTTTTTTTTCAGTTTCAGCCATTTTCTACGAGAAAGGAAAAAACCGTCTCCGCGGCTACCATTAGCATGGATTTTTTCTTGCATGGATTTTTTCTTGCACTGAGTAAAATATTACCCCTTTTTTTTGGAAATGCTTAACATCACTGTGTCACTGTGATCTCCACTCATAATAAGGCTATCACTCTATGGGTGATGTCAACACTTTGTTAGTCCACTCCTTCTGCAGCCTATGGTCACAGCCAGGGAGTAGGCTCCCAGATGTGCACCGTTTTTGTATACATAACTTGATATAATGTCATGGATAATTGACCAACAGGGCAATGTCATATTGGATTATGTGGGCTGCTGCTTGAAGATATTGTGCAGATGCAATATTACACATGCACTGGCCAGTTAATGCAACTGTCCAGACCCATTTTCATCATGGGGCATCTGTCACAGCAGAACAATGTGACGGTACATCTGCTGGTTCAGGGATAAAAAGACATCATATATGCTACTCTTCCCACATTTATTCAAGACAAAAGTGTCAAATCCACTCCTTATAAAACAGACCGCCTCGTCAATAAATGCAATGAATACATGCATGTGACGTGGTGGTATAACAGCATTGTTTTCTTTCCTTGTTATTATTGTTTTACTCCTACAACTACAGTTGATGACAGGGCGACGTGACATATGCATTCAGTACTTTGCTGTATGATTCCTGAGCGATTGTGTCAAATGCACTGGTCATTGGCTGCACTAACGCTTCTCAGCAAGAAAGTCCTTGGTTCAAATCCCGGTCGAAGCAGGGCCATTCTTAGAGTTTGGATGTTCTCCCCGTGGCTTGTGCTGAGTAGCACATGGGACATACACAGGGACCAAAAGATCCATGGTAGTGTCTTGGACAATTACAGTACTGTTTACAAATAAATCCTATTGTTTGCAGTCTAAGCAAATGACTGAAAACTCCTGTAGTCTGTGGCCAACTTCAATCAGCATTTCTCACTATGTGTTTGATAAATGATCGATTCCACCATCTCCCTAAAAATCTTCTACAGGGTACACATTTTTATTTTAGTCCTCTTGGTGTAATGGAATAATTTATAATTCACTAAACGTAGGCTACATTTAGTTGGATTTTTAGACTCCAAATGTCAAACGTTGTTCCCTGACCCTCTTTGCCTGCTCAAAATGATATGTGATAAGCTCTAGGGAGAAGACTTCTGAGACCAAATCACTCAGCTGCTTTGACAAGTCCCGTCTTAGGCTCGCTTCATCTCTGCCCTGGATATACGGCACATGTCACCCAAAACCTCAGGCATTGTTTGTGAGAGATATAGAAGGATCTAGAGAATAAATCATGAATCTTGATGTAAAAACTCTAAAGCCATACCATAAAAAAGATGATAGATTATGGCAATAAAAGCAGCAACAATACAAGAAAAGAGAAAACATTCCCCATTGTGCAAAGAACCGTAAAAATGAATGTCCCCTTTTGCTTTTGAGAGTGTTGTTTTCTGACTCCGATAGAAAAAGTGACACAGGAAAGTGGTGTCAGATGAAGCCTTGGTTGCACAGTGCAGTCATTAGAAAAGCCTCATTTGCCCCGCCACGCCACACGGAACCTCAGATAAGGGATGGAAACTCAACAGTGCAAACCAACAATTCTCACTCTCATTCATTCCTCACTTTGTCGCTCAATTTCTCTCCTGAGGAAAGCCATGCACACAATGTGGTTAATTACAGGATGCTTTCTATTGCTTCCTGGGAATCAAGTTGCTTTAATTAAAGAATACCAGGGAGCATTACACTATATTGTTTTATTTATAATGGAGTAACATTGTTTTACTCATCACCTAATCCAATACTTTCTTTCCCAAATAAGACAGATATTCTTCCTGCTAAAATGATTCAATAAGGAATACAAATTATGGAGTGCACCTTGTTATGGTCAACTTCTGTCTAATCTGTGTTTTTCTATCAGCTCTTTCTGTTTGAAATACTTCTGTGTGTCGTGTTTTAGAGAAATCATACACATGGGACAGACTTGAAGTAAAAAATACTGGTCAATTGTTTCTTGCGAAACGAAATTCATCCTGTAAGGCTCATTAAAAAGAAAGTCCAGTGTCACCTCCATGACCACATGGCTCTTGGGTGGGCTCAAAGTTATTTCAGAGCATCACTGTTCTTGGCCTAAGAGGAGAGTGCTTATTGATTTTGTCAACAGAGCATTGATTTTTCTGGTCTGCTTCTGCCGCGAGCCTCTGAATTGGCCCAAATCGGCTAAAATCTGCAAAGCAGAGTCACGACTAGTTTGTAGACAGTAATATACTTTTTGAGTTTTTAGATAAAGTCTCGAAAGTGCAAAGTGTGTTTATTTTCTAATTCAGTCGTTTGTCCACTGGTCTGCTTTAGGCTGGCAGGTTGTGAGCCGTGACAGCCCATCAAAGAAAACAGTAAAAGCCTGCTTCCAGACATTGTTGAAGAAACGTTGCATGGCCTGACAAAAGGCACAAAAAAAGAAAACTAAGCCTATACATAGTGTATTGGAACATTAAACAAGCAACATTTAACACTTAACTGTATGTAGGAGGAGGAGAGTGGATGGATGTTTTGATAATTTGATTGACAGATTGTTGACTGGTTTTAATTCTCCCCAATAAGCAGGGCTGGACTGGCCATCGGGCGTACCGGGCAATGCCCGAAGGGCCGATGCCCATATATGGGCCGGTCTGTCGGTCTGTCATACAAAAAACATGTTTGTGAAAAGTGTAAATCCGTTGAGAACTGTTCGAGGGGAGCGCGCGTGTCCGCGGGGCACCTGCTGTATGTACTCGAACGGGATTCCACCACCTCAGCGGCCGCAGTGTTCCCGCATCCAGCGGCTCTGAGCTGGACGCAGGAACCGCTCACCGGGAACCGCTCACAACACAACATGGTGAGCGCGTAGCCGCAACGTGCCCATGTACCCAAGACCATAAACGCGCACAGGACCATGCATGTCTTTTCGTAATTTGTGCACCCAATAAATACACCGCTGCAGAAAACAGTCCGCGTCTCCCCTCTCCTCTAAATTAAAGCTCGGGTACCTAAATTTTCCATTGCATTAAAAGTTCATGTTTGAGCCCAAAAGTAAAATGTTGTGAACAGATTAAACAGATTTAGAGCCAGCAAATGGCTGACAATATGCATTTCAGTCTTTTTTGACCAATTCTCATCCCTGTAACAAACAATAGTATTGTCTGTGTCCACCTCCCTCACTCTGAGACATGTTTATTACTCTGTTTAATGTAAACTATTGTACTTTATTTTATTGTTGAAACTGCAGACATCCTGATCCTCTACAGTATTTGCTTCCACATACTGTATAAACCAGGGGTCGGCAACCTTTAGTGCCCCTAAAGTGGCTCCTGGAGCCTTTTCAAAAATGTCTGAAAATGGAGTGTGAGGGCTATATTTTATTTCTTGTTTCAATGTGGTTTCTGTAGGAGGAAAAACATTCTTGACGTTTTTCAATGCTGCAAAAACTTGTATAAGTAATATTCAATTTTAGCATTTCTGTCAACGTAGTGCGTCATATCCTGTGACGCGGCCCGTGCCAGGCGGCCGCTGTTGTAAACAAACCGGCGTGTGTGCATTATAGACTGTGTGTGCGCATGGATCCCAAAGATAAAGAGAGAGAGTCGATAAGACTGGACTAAGAATGAATATGAACATTTTCTTTCAGTCAATGAGGAAGGACTGCTTCATGTTTGCGATGTAATGAAAAGTTTTGTTGCAACAGGAGGAACAATGAAGCTTTAAACACCGTTCACTGAAGGATTAATTCATCATAAAGTCAGAGCACCTATTTTCAAACTTCAAATATTTTCGCAAAGACCATTAAGGACATTCAGCTCCAGCAAACTTCAGCCTGTGATGGATATGAACAGACAGTGATGCAGGTGAACTCGGAGACAAAAAGCAGATTTATTTACTCTATTTGTACAATTGCATGAAGGTTAAAGTTAAAGCAGAGTTGTCACGTGGTGCGTCATTCTCTCCAGGACACGCTGCAATGAAAATACACATTTGATAATCATGAATGGTTTTTATGTGTTTAGCCTTTACTTTGTCATTTAGATATTAGGCTAATATAGCTAAGGTAGCTAATGTAGCTAATACAGCTTCAGCCCCTGTTACCTTTATATAAGCCTTATACAACGCTGTTTTTGTGTGTGTGTGTGGCTCCAGACAGATGTTGTTTTTAGTTTTTTTTGTTAAATATGGCTCCTTGAACCTTTTGAGTTGCCTGGGCCGCTAAAAAGGAAAAAATGCCCGGGCCGTTTTTTTTGTCCCAGTCCAGCGCTGCCAATAAGGATTGGACCTCTTTTATACCATGTGGGGAATGAACCACCATAAAGAACCACATGTCCTTTTGTATCGATTTAAATTTGTATTGTTACATTTGAAAGAGCAATGGTATACGACGCAGCCCCTCCAGTTTTTCCTGTTGTAAAAAGTGTTTCATGTTGAATGTCATACTGCTGGAACTAATTCCCTAATTCTTATTTTCAAGATTTCACCAAGTTAATTCAAGTTTTTTAGGTTAGAAGCAACTGTTGCGAACACGTCACAGACATTTTTCCATGTTACACTTTAAATTGCCCCCCACCAAAGTTTCCTACAGACTCTGCATTGGGTGCTGCCAGTATCTGTTACTTCCACCAAGTTAAGTGAAGCAGCTTTGTGAGTTAGTGGGAACAAATCATTACAGGTCTGTCACCTCATGATAGTTTAAACCTGGTGATCGATACAGACAAACTCCACTTTTCCACCCTATTTTCACCTATAATCACTTGTTTACAAAGTTCAACTGTTCTGACCCCTCTCCTCTCAACTTGTTTTTCTCTCTACAGGGTGAACCATTGTTTCATTTACACCTCAAACTTCATTTGAAATCTCTCTCTCTCTTTCTGTCTCCAGTACCATCATGGGCCATTGTCTCCATCGCATTTGTGGCCATCATCCTGGGGCTCGCCTGCTGCTTCTGCATCTGCAAAAAGTGGATATTCAAGAAGAAAAATAAAAAGAAGGGCAAGGACAAGGGGAAAAATGCCATCAACATGAAGGATGTCATAGACGGGACCAAAACCGAGGTAAAAACGTTCAAATGTTGTTATGATGTTGTGTTTAACATTTATAAAACTTTATTTATTTATTATTTATTTTAAGTATGTATGATTTATTTATTTTTTTGTTTGCATGCTTTAAGTTGGACATTTGTATGTATGTCTGTTTTATTTCTATGTTTTGTTTATTATACATATTCTACTTATGCACAATTGTATATGTTTTGAATACCATTTCCAGTATAAGTTAAAGTTTATTGTTGACAACTCTTTTACACTACTTCAGTTCAGCTACTTTCAGGGATTTAAGTGGGAGACTTGTAGTGACTTCCATTTTAAACAGTTTTGGACATTTTGCCTCTTGAGTTTTGGGGTCCTGTGAGTGTTTCCTTGTTCAAATAAGGACCTGCTCACTTGTTGAAGAGTGTGAGTAATGTTTGCTGTGCTATAAAATGGTTTTCACTGAGAGAAATGACAATAAACCTATTTGGTAAAGAAATACCACAAAACTGAATTTATCTCCACTATTAGTTATGCAATATGTACAAGCAGAAGTACATCATCAATAAAAAAAAGCCTCATTTAGCCTCCTTTTGCCCAATGTACCTTCATATTAGCAATTCTCAAACAGTGGCTTAGCAGGTAACCATAGAAATAGATGCTATTCTTCACAGATAGGTTTCAAAATATGTAAACTGACTTAAAGCTCGGGTACCTAACTTTGCTATGCTTATTATATAATTTCTTTGTCCCAACAGAAAGAGTTTTGTAGGTGTTGGGAACCATGCAACATGCTCTATTCAATCTAAAAGAAAACAAGTCATCTTTTGCATACTTGTAAGAAAGAGCCCTTTGAGTCCCTTTTTGTCTCTTTGAGCTGAGAGCTGATGGGAATTGAAGAAAATTCAAAGCGTCAACAGTCAAAACCCTCACCTGCCGAAAGAGTGATCCACAAACTGGTCTGAGTGTGAGAAACTAGTAGCCATAGATGGATTTTGCTACATTTTTTGTGGTTTGAAAGTTGGATGATTCAGCTTTAAATAACTAGTGCAGGGGTCTCCAACCTATAGCTCGGGAGCCACCAGTAGCTCGCCACCTCCTTTCAGGTAGCTCGCCAAAGGATTTAGAAATGAACAAATCAAATAATATAGTAAGTAAGTTTTTATCTTTTCACTGCAGATCTGAGTCTCAAAGCGGTTTACAATTGTTAATTTTTGGGCATTTGTCTCTCACTCCACACAGAGATGGGAGCGGGGCCAGTACAGGAGGCACATGCCAGAACTATTGGACATATTTTTAGTGGTAGGGGAAACCGGAGTACCCGGAGGAAACCTACGCAGACACAGGGAGAACATGCAAACTCCACTCAGAAAGGCCCTGGTCCGACCGGGATTCGAACCCAGGACCTTCTTGCTGAGAGGCGAGAGTGCTATCCACTCAGCCACCGTGCCGCCCGTAATATAATGAATATTTCACATTGATTTATTATTTATTATGCACTTTTTCACCAGTAACAAATATGTGATGGTAAATAATGACTCCAATATATCAACTTTTTTTTTTCAAGGGCCGCTTAAAGGAGTAGCTCTCTGCCTTTATTGTCCCGGGAAAGTAGCTCTTTGTGTAAAAAAGGTTGGAGACACCTGAACTAGTGGATACATGTTCACTTGTTTGGTGGTTTTACATCCAAAAATAAATTATTTTTACTCAGTTAAAGTGAACCAGACAGAAATAATTGTAACTTCCATCCACACACATGAACCCCCCTTTAGACACATGTATTGTAATAGTATGTACATGCAAACTTCATAGACATGTATATCAGCCCAATATACTTTTGAACCAGCATTACCAGCTGTAGATCATCAAAGTGTTATAACTCGAGCCAGGTTCATTTGTTTTTGTGTAAATTTACAATATTAGAAGTGTCATATAAGTCATTTCTCGTAGTGAGCCAGAAATATGTGTTAAATTGTGTGTGGTTGTTTTAATTTGTGTTTCTTCCTTCTATGTCCTCCTTATCTGTGTTGTGTCTGATGACTGTTCGGGATGGTCACTGGCGGTAGGTTCCCAATTGCTGTTGGATCTTCTTAAGCCTGCTGCTCTGACGTTTCAAATAGCCTCTTGCCAACAACTTACAACCATAGAAGCTAATATATGTAACTATGCATACAGTACATGTATATCTGCTGTATATATGTGCATACTAACTGCATATGCACATATATATGTATGGAAGACAACATTGGGTCTGCAATTGCAAAGTTGAACCACACTGATTCCATCCCAGGCATAAATCTCTTGCCTTTCGAATGCAAAATTTGCATTTCAAACAAGTGGCAGGAGGCAAAAGTGGGATGATTGAGAGGCTCTGCAAGTAAATGTCTTTTTGAAACGAGAGACGAAAAGGAAGCGTTTGACTGAAGTAAACATGCAGTTGCACTGATCAATTCAAGTGAAATCTATCTCACTTTATTCCTCAATGTTACGTAATTTCTCTAAAAACATTTTCAATTTTCAATCATTTTACTTGAATTGATTCCAAAGGGAGGAGACTACATTGCTCGGTGGAAACTTTGAAGTAATCAGTGATGTTCAGCTTTTTGCTTTCACATTAGCAACGTGACAAACAAATAGGAGCAGCCCCGGAAGTACATTACAACCCCTTATTACCAACACCCCCCACCCACCGCTGGCATGATGCTTCTTAGCTTCCATGTATGTAGAGGGTTACGTAAGCTAAAGGCTATGATGACAATGCGACTGTGTCTGAAGGCATCATTAAACTCAGGAATGGGGATTCACAAAGAGCACCAGTTTGTATGACAGAGAATGCTCTGCATGCCTGGAAAGAGATATCTTGAAAAGGCAACTTTTGATGCTGAATGAATGTCTTTGACAGCTAGTGCCTCTTCTATCGCATGTTGTACTATACTGTTTTTGAACACCCTTCACCAATGCCAGCCTCTCCACCCATCCCCTGCTACTACCCCCTTCACACTATTGCAGCCTATCAGGACGCTCACTGTCTTTTCATACTCTTCTCAGTAACCTGTGGTCTTCTCCAAATAACAAGGATTATGCTCTCTTCTAGATGTCTCTATCTTCCTCTGCCGTATCCATGTCTGTCATTTCTAATCCCTTCCCCTAATGCCTGCTCATAACTGTCATCTCTGAAACCATCCTGTGATCTTTTCTTCCTTTAGCTGAAATACTCAGACTGTTAGGACATCAGGGGACCAGGCCTGGGGCTTTTTATGCATCACAGAGCATGTCCTGGTGTTAACTGGTGTTTTAGTGCTTGCATCCCCGTTTTTTCTTATCTATCAAAAACAAGTGGCAGCGTTTACAGGAGTAGGTCGACAGGCAGGACCCGGGCGGGGAACGGCTGGCAGGGTGCTAGCCCCAACAACAAACAAGCGACACTGACTTTTGGTGGGTGTCTCCTTCAGGCCTTGAAGGATGAGGAGGATGCCGAAACAGGGTTGACCGAAATGGAGAAGAAAGAAGATGAGCCCAAGGAGGACCAGAAACTGGGGAAATTACAATACTCCCTGGATTACAATTTCACTGAGAACTCGGTAAGACTCAGTTCTCCGGTCCGATTGTCTGTGTGTCGTTGTTTCCAAAGCTTCTCCTGTAAGTATGGTTCCACCCCGTCTCTGAGGTGGTCCAACTTAGTATTCCATCCAGAACAAAACTGATACCAGATTATGCACAGTTTGCCTGTTAGATATCCCCACTGCTCACACACAATTGAGTGAACTGTGTTTGAAGACTCGTCTGTGCATTTAAGGCTACACTATTGGGATTTCCTCTGCAAATTTGTTTTTCTCTTTCTGCTTGAAATGATATGGCCCCTCTAGATATCCATCTGTTTTATGTTTCCGCCCATTGAGTTGAAGAAGCTGGGCAAAAAGAACATTACACTTCTGGGCTCCAGATGTTGTGTGACAGATAATAGACACGCCGTATGAACAGCACTGCCCCTCTCTGGGCTGGCTCACTCCGCATTAAAGACACAAGTGACAGTAGGGATTAGACACGAGCACAAGTGTGGATGTATTAACTCATCTCTATTTCAAGACAAAACCAAGAGACAAGCTTTTAAGATCATGCACCTGGCACTAAGATTTTGGGTTAACATAAAACATACTCGTAAAGATTAGATTTTGAGTTATGTCTCATAACTGGAACTATCATGTATTATTCCACGGCTGTGTTCATGTGACATCACAACACTCCAAGAAGTCTATATTTTATTACTGTGGTGGTGGGCAGCTGAAAAAATATGATAAACAATGTAAAAATTAATTACCTTTTACATTTCTCTGTTATTCCTGGTCCAGTTCCACATCTTCTTTGTCAGTACCTAAAAAAATTGGTCTTTTTATTTTCTCATAAAAGACCATAGCCATCTGTAAACTACGGTAAATTATTATTTCCCTACATGTACGAAAGGAAATGTGTACAATGGTAAGGTAAGACCAGGCTAGTCTAGAAGAGGTGACATTATTTAAAAAAATAAAATAAACATGCATGATGTGTGCCAGTCAGACGTATAATGTGTCGGGTTTGTGAATAACTATTAAATAATAATCTTGAAAAACCTTTGGACTTTTTCCTTTTAACATTTCATTAAAAAATGCATATTTCCTTCCACCTGCCCTCCAACTGAAATGCAATTCTATAACATGAACGCAACTTTTTAATTATTTATGATATTTCATACATATACTTTTTTTCCTAGAATACACAATGGTGGCTGTGTGGAGAAATGCTGCAGATCACAGCGGTCTGTGGATTCAGCCTCTGGTGATGATGACACTTTAAACACTAATGAGACTTTGGTTTTGTTAAAGACCCAAATCGCTCAGAAAGCAGTGACGCGGCAAGATCAGGCAAATACACAGTAAATGAAGCACAAAGAGAGCTCTCAGCAGAATTATAACGCCATTCCTACTGTACTTTCAACATCATTACCATATTCATTGCTTCCCTTCAGTGAAGAGGCCATTTGTATTGTGTCCAGACAGAATATATGAATTTCAGAGTCATGAAGCAATGAATTTTAACACATTGTCACTTAACCTCGAGGATATACTCCAAAACTCCACTGTAAACCTTTGTATTTATACTGTACCATACGTGTGTGACCAGAAGCGGAAATAGTAATGTTAAATTAACGGGACAAAACACTCATCGTCTAATTTAGTTCAGGAGCCCACATACTTTGTAAGCAAACACATGTACTGGGATTTGGGTTACTTGGGGAAACAATGTAATAATTTTAAAAACAACCCTCTTGAAGATAATGACGCAGGAGTCTGGGCTCGTGTCCCAGACAGAAGACAGAAGTTTTATTGTCAATGGTAGAGACGAGACACAAAAAAGTTTCACAGAATGCCTGTGATTTTACAGCATAGACGGTCCAATCAGCAGCTGCCATGGCACCAGCAGCTTCAGCATTCACATGAGCAAATCATTCAAGTGGAAAATCACTGCCGTGTGCATAGTTAGAATGACAAAATCAGTTTTAACCAAAAATGTCATGAAATCTCATTGGCATATCTTTGAGTTTCTTTTCATTTGCATAGTCATCAGTACAGTACAGAGCAGCAGACAGTTTCATGGAGTAGCCGTGCCTGCTGCGAGAGCATTGGTCATAAAAAGAGTATTACAGACTCCTAAACTTAACATTTTGTGTATTTTTGAATTTTCTTAAATTCTAATGTTGGCACAACTTTATAAATGACAACTCATTGGAGTAGAGTGAAGCGAGAGAGGTTATGTACGCCACACCCCTCCATGAACTAATATGCAAACCTACAATTATAGGTGTACATAAATCCCACTAGTTATTTACAGTAAGCAAAACACACAGGGTGGCGGATGATCAAATGTGACATCTTTCAGCCCCCCACATGCCACGAATTCACAGGGGGAGGAGCAGGCGTCCATGCCAAGCTACAACATTAAACCGCACACAAACAAGACCATTCACCACTACACACTCACCTGCGATGCCCGCACACTGCACCACACTACAGAGCTTGACAATTCACTGCAGCTTTAATGTGCCTAATTGCCACAGAGTCTCGTTGAACACGACACGATCCGACCCGACTCCTGTACGCCGTCTGAGGTTGGGTAGGTAGGGCCGTAGGGGAGGAACATGGGCAAATAGCATTCTTTTAAAGTCACGTATGGGATAGCCACAAAGCCCAAACAAAAAGCCATGGGCAACAATAAGCCATTTTGTTGCCCTTGTGTGTGGGTACAGTGCTTTCTGTATGGCACAGAATGTTATATTTTTGTATGTCACAAAATAAAATATTCAAATCAAGTTACCGATACATACATGAAACAATAGATGGATACAATACGACCAAGACCAAGAGTGCTATCCACTCAGCCACAGTGGATAGCACTCTCGCCTCTCAGCAAGAAGGTCCTGGGTTCGAATCCCGGTCGGACCAGGGCCTTTCTGAGTGGAGTTTGCATGTTCTCCCCGTGTCTGCGTAGGTTTCCTCCGGGTACTCCGGTTTCCCCTACCACTAAAAATATGTCCAATAGTTCTAGCATGCGCCTCCTGTACTGGCGACCCCGCTCCCATCTCTGTGTGGAGTGAGAGACAAATGCCCAAAATTAACAATTGTAAACCGCTTTGAGACTCAGATCTGCAGTGAAAAGGCGGTATATAAATAAAAACTTACTTACTTACTTACTTACAATAACAAGTAGTAAAATGACCAGTCACCAACACATCTGTCTTTAGTTTGGTTTAAGCTGAAAGCTGATGGCATACAAACTTTACATTTGTCATTTATGTGCTATTCAGACACAGCTCAAAAAGACATTCCTGCAGAAGAGAAATTATAACCTTTAATTACCTTTTACAAATTTGAATAACAACCCCGCTGTTAGTATTTATGAGTCATTGAGAAAATGAGAAAATTAAAGACATTACCTGGTTGATGAGTTTTTAATGAATCCTTCAAGTAGTCACAGAAGCAAAAAACCCCATCTTATTAGTGCTCTGCATGAAGCCTGTCATTTTGGTGTTTTAGCAACACAAATTCGTTTTTTTCTTTATTTTTTTTAAATTAGGATGACCTTTTATATAAATCTTTTTAAACGCAGGGTTAGCTAGCGTATTGTGTATAATTGGATCAAAAATAAAAGAACTTCAGCAATAAACAGTATTGAAAAGTCTTTGATGTGAGTTCTCCTGCCCGTACGTCAATAGTCATGTACTCGCACCTCATCTTTGAAATGACAGCTATAATAATTGTGCGGCGTGCGTTTGATATGCGTCCTATGTAACAAACGGCAGCGCGATGCATTTAAGGTGCAATTACCGTGCGTCTGTTCTATCTATTGAATCCATGACAGGATCTCATTTGAGTGTTTGCAGTGGTAATGTCTGGGAAACGGTGCATAATCTGGAGAGCAGTTAATTATTCTGCGGTGCGCCATCTGTTCCTCGATGCATTGTGCTCAGTGTGACATGTACAATAACAGTGTTTGTAACATTCTGTTTGTCAATGTAATCAATCCACCATTACGCACTACTCACTCATAGAAACCAGTGGGCCCATTTTATAATATTTTATGTGTATAGGGTCGGACTGCACGACTTTTCAGATTACCATCACGATTCGTTTTGCGATTACTGTAATGAAGTCAAAGATCGTATATTAGAAGTGGACTGACTGAATGCTGAAGTCACACATTGTTTTTACAGAATGCGGAATAAGCCAAGGGGGCAGATGCAAAGAAACTTCTTGCTAACATAGTTGCTAACTAGGCAAGATGGAGTTTCCCCTGTGAATAAAGGCATCTGATTGGTCAAGCTTTAGGGCTCATACTTGGATTTACAATGGCAATGTGAAAATATAAACGGGTCAAGTCAATAGGACTTGACAGAGCGAGTGTAACAACACTCGTCCATGAGCACATCCCTATTGGGCTTCATTGAGATAGACTAGAACTAGCTAACTGGTCAGGGGTGTCGTCCTGTGAAGAGCCACACTATGTTCCGGTACCGCAAGCTCCAGGGCTTCAGCTACCAAATGATTTAGCATGAACATATTTTAGGTTTCTTTTAGAGCGATAATGAATATATATTTTATTCTATAATTAATATAATAAATTATGATTTTAAACCATGTTAAACAACCTTGAAGTGATCTACATATAAACTACACTGTTCATAAAGGAATTGTGTCAAGAGTATATTGTCCAAAAGTGGCATTGTAGTAAATACTTTTTACATTTGCATGAAATTAAAAAATATAATTTATTGGACTGATCTTCTCAAAAATCAATGAACAATTTCTTCATAAATCAGAGCTTCACACACTTCACATTTTTTATTTCTTGAGTGCGTTCGGCAAATCACTGAAACACGTGCCGTGTCCGTGGCTTCAATAAGAAGAGGCTGTGTTTCACTTGTGAACTCTGAGAAAACAGTTTTTACTTCACAAAACTGGAACAATCAGCAGCACATGAGCCGAGACACAGAGCTGCAGCGGCAGACAGTGAGAGGGAGGGGGCGGGGGAGCCTTAGGGGAACAGGAGACTTTAAATGTTGCATAATATCAAACTATCAAAACCAAGTCCACAGCTCTGGAGGGAAAAGAGGGAAAGAGACGGCATTCTAACACAGATTCTTTCAAAAAAAATGTAATTCTTCAAACCAGATGAGAGACAATGAGCCACAGACGCATGTGGCCTGCTTGCCTCAGGTCTGCCTGCCCTGGGCTAAAGGGTCAGCTTTTTCCATCTATATACACTCTATGTATGAAGTTAGGATAATGTTGAAATTGTACTGTAACATTCAAGTTTAATGAAGATATATTAAGATTACATGAAATCTAAATAAAGTTATCATTTGAACTCCCAATGTGCGTAAAACTAAATTGTATACGACTGGACGTGCTAAGTTAAGAGAAAACCCTTTAACAGGCTGTTATTAGCCTGTTTTGACATTTTTTGTGATCCTTGTATTTCTAAGGAAATTATGGGGTTAAAATGTTAATCATGCAGCTGTATCTATATTGCTTAAGAGTAAACTATAGAAGTTTACTCTTGAAGTCTGGTCTGTAAAGTCTGGTCTGCGGAGGTCTGGGGATATTTCTTTCAGTTAGTGCCTTGATGGCAGTCAGACAGCTGTACAGCGTCATGGCTCAGTGCCCTGGTCAGCCTCCAGATTGCTGCTTGATGACGGCCATTAGGAAGTTGATTGACTGACTAGTTGGGCCTTCTGAGAGCTTTCTGAGTGGATGCTCTACCTGGCAGCTCAATCAGCCTCCCCATGGTTATCAATTATCAGCCACTGGTGAAGAGAAACTTCTCCTCCCAAAGCTGACAAGTCTTGACCTTTGCCAAATCTGTGGCCACTGGCAGCTCAGCAGACGTAACCTTTCTCATAGAGTGCAACTACATCTCCACCGACACCAACTCATCCTCCACTGTCAAAGAAAGAATAATGGCCTTAACAAGCCTTGTGTTATCATCCTGTGTGTGTGTGTGTCGGTGTCGGTCAGGCGGATGGACCAGTGATATTTTTTGCGTGTGCATTTTTATTTAATATTTATCTTTGTCCTCAGCTCATTGTGGGGATCATTCAGGCAGCGGAGTTACCTGCTATGGACATGGGTGGCACATCTGACCCGTACGTGAAAGTCTACCTACTGCCTGACAAGAAGAAGAAGTTTGAGACCAAGGTTCACAGAAAGACCCTAAACCCCGTCTTCAATGAACAGTTTACATTTAAGGTAATCAAAAGTTAATCTTCAAATGGAAGACAATGCAATGTATATAATGTAACTTAACATTGTAACAGTCTGATTTGGCAGGCAGCTTGGTGGAGGCACTCAGCAGGTGGCAAATTAACAAGCTCTAGACAGTAGAATCTTGTTTCCTAGATTGTATTCACTCATATATGACACCGAAAAACACAATTAGTTGTATAGTAATGAAGCTATTATGTTTCTTTCCATTTGTGCCTTAGGGGTGTTCTCCTTTGTGTCTAAGTGAAATAGATATGAACATTTCATTAAAAAATGTATACAATTTTACATACAACAAAGATACTGTTTTACTGAATGAAACCGTAGCTGTGAATACATTTTTAGCACACTTGTATATAAACAGCACCCACTAAATGTTGGTCACTCTTGAATATAAGAATTATGCTAACCAACAGCTGATGGAGCAAAACAAAGCTGATCTGTTTTAACTGACCACAACATGATTTAATGACCAGGTGTTGTATTGCAATGTGGACTTTTTATTGTCCAAGCTCGGTAAATAACACAATACACTCTGGGCAGGCTAACATTGACTCACGGTCACATGCTTACCTCAACTGTTAGCCTTCATGTCGGGACTCCTTTACCAATCTATTTTGACAATAAACATGCGTCCTATAGTGCGTCCTATAGCTACTAAAACTTGGAGTTCATGAACAACAATCCTAATCATATGAAAACAGATCCGTTCCTGTGTTCCAAGGGATACGCTACCACAATACAGAAACATGTTGGCTGAATTGCTATATGGGATAATAATAATAATTCTTGAAGGAAGTAGTGTTTTATAGTCCAGCAATTACAGGAACTCTGTGTAACCTTCTGGAAGTGTCACATCACCTGTGTGTGGAAAAAAAAAACGGGATGGATGAAATGTATTAGATTAGGTATTAGATTAGATATAGATTATGGTCAAAGGAAAAACATAAAGGATTAACAATTATAAACTATCTACTATTATTTACAATCACAAAAATAAAGATTGCTTTAAGCTGAATTATGATAGTTTAAGTAGTTACATGCAAAATGTTTATATATTATCTATTTTACATGTTATGATTATTACATATATTCTCTTTCGGATCTGTCTTTTTGTTGCCCAGGTTCCTTATGTGGAGCTCGGAGGAAAGACACTTGTGATGACAGTGTACGATTTCGACCGCTTCTCCAAACACGACGCCATCGGGGACATCAAAGTTCCCATGAACAAGGTGGACTTCAGTCACATAACGGAAGAGTGGCGGGATCTGCAGAGCGCTGAGAAGGAGGAGGTGGGACGTGACACAAATGAACTATTACAGCGTCAAGGGTCACATTTCAACAATCTTGTATTATTAGTATTACATTAGAACAACATTTGCTGAAGCACTCGTAATTTCCGCCATGTTTTTGCTCGATGCAGTAATGTTGCTGATGTAATCCGTCTCTCCCAGAAATGTCACTTAATCAGATGTCCACACTTCCCCTTCAATTAATAGAGTATGACTTTCCAGGCAGCAGTGCAGGAGATTCAATTTTCATGGTAAATGTCATGGCATATAGCATGGGTTGCTAGGAGAATGTTATTTTTAGAACATGGTGGTTTTTGATTAAAAAGTAGAATATGATTATGCTATTTAATGGTCTGGAACTTTAATTGTACTCTCACTATAACGCCGTTCACCTTTCACGGGCCTCGCTGTTTTGTGGTTTTTTTGTGTCGAATTTTACAGTGCTGCATGTATACTTCAACAACATCATGCGACCGCTAGTCTAACCGCTAATTACCTTTATATGAAGTCAGAAGAAAACTTTTGTGGATTGTGTGCATCGTGGTGATTCGTTCAGATGACTACCACACCACAGTCTTCCTGTGGCCCTCAGTCCTGCCCCTCAGCAGCTATGTTTTACAGTGTATGCACAGCTTTTGACAGCTGCAGCAGCGCTCACCCCTACAACGAACAGGTTTAATATCTCTGCGTTTGCACTTCAGCAGTTGTGAGTTCCGGTGGTTAGAAACGTGTTTACAGTGTGTGGTGAGGAGTTTTACAGCCTTAAAACGCCTAACTGCTACTTTTCGGTTTTTGTTTGTTTATTTATTTTGTTTATTAATTTATTTGACAGTCACATTGCAAGTCAAAATTGAACAAAACAAGCTTGTAACTGCTGCGATAAAATGGTTTATAGCTATCGCTAATTTTCAACTCCAGTCCCTGCGGCTTATTTTTAGAACGTAATCCCCACGATAAAGGAGTGACCACTGTATATAATAAAAGAATAATTATATTTTAACCCATGTAACCCTGTAGTATCATCTAAATTATATTATATAATCAAAAGTCTATAAAAACCAAGTCCATGGCTCTGGAGGGAAAAGAGGGAAAGAGACGACATTCTTACACGGATTCTTTATAAAATATATTTATTCTTCAAACCTCTTGAAACAGATGCATGCGGCTTGCTAGCCTCAGGTCGGCCAGCCTTTTTTTATAACGCAATCCCCACAATAAAGGAGTGACCACAGTATTTAATAAAAGAATAATCATATTTTTTTCCATATAACCCTGTAGTAACATCTAAATTATACTTTTATATAATTATTTTAAAAGTCACTTGAAATATGCGTCACCAGTCAGATTCGCTGAAGGAAAATAGACCAATGGTTAGGGGTCTCCGCTGCTGAATTGATCAGTCAATCAAATTTATTTATAAAGAACTTTTTATACAGAAAATGCAACACTAATTGCTTTACAGTTTGGTTAAAAACCATCCTGCCCATGACCCCCCCCCCGACCACATAACAGACCCACCCAAATCCACATGCATCATTAAGAACGCACACGCAGACGAACACACACAAACGCACACAATCAGGATCTTGTGGAGGCGGGTCTAACTGCCGTACTCGAAAACGTCTCTCCATCTTCACAACTTGAAAACTGACATTCACTTTGAAATTAGCACATATCATCCATCAATCAGAAATGTTTATTTCAGAACATGTACTGCACAAATCCACCGAGCAAAATAACATAACTTTGTTCATACGTGTTCTGAAAATAATAATAATAATAAATCACATCACACACAATATTAAAAGTACAGAATAGAATACGTTTAAAAATGACAAAGAATAAGCCGGTTTAAAAAGGTAGGTTTTGAGATGTGCTTTGAGTCTAACTGTCGCAGGTCAAGAAAATGTTTATTCGAGCAGTAGTCTGAAACATACAGTAAAAGAATACATCAAATCCATTGCGAACACAGGTCCAGTTATGCTTATGTCATTATGGAGTTCTTTTTTATTGAATACAGTTAAAGATCCTGTCTTTAACACTCAATGTTCATTATATTGAGGCCAGCGCTACCTCCCTCCCCTCTGAAACAATTACCCAGCGTACACCAGCTCCTCTGCAGTGACATTTAGAAGTAATAGATGGTGATTACAGGCTGGGAATCATCATATTGTGTAGTGCTGCACTTTTTTTTGCATTGCATTTGTATGTGCGACTAACATTTTTCTTTGTTAGCTCATTTTAGAATAAAAAAGTATGTGTGCATTTGAACAGAAACCACATGTTAAGTGCACTTCAAAGTTAAATGCGTGGGTCAAAGAGGCATGAGCGAGGTCTTGCTGTGACCTTATACTTAAAACCAACAGCTGGCCTTTAGTTTCTCTTGGGAAATATCAGAGATCATAGTCCCTGCTCTTAAGGGTAATGACAGCTCCGAACTCCTTAAGATAACATGATGTGTGTACAGTGTTTTAGTGGCATTTCAAATACAGTTAATTTTCCAAAAATTAAGGAATATATTTTTATATTTGATCATGCAATTTTGACAGGATATTACATGCTTTTGAGTGGCCAAACCTGTCAGCACTGATTGAAGATTGTAGATAGATAGATAGATAGATAGATAGATACTTGATCCCCGTTAGAGACATTCTAGTAGGGGTCCAGTAAGCAGCAAAAATAAAAAACAAAATTGAACAGTCTAAAAAGCTAACAATAGTAATAATCAGCAACAGCCCTTCAGGTCACAACAGCAGAGATGTGTTTGAGATTGTGTTTTATCTAATGTGTTTTAATATAGTAGGATTTTAATATATCTAGGAAATGTAAATGTAGATGGAAACTAGCTATCTATCTATAAACGGGGGCAGAACATATCTGTTTCTTTGAGCTCTCTGTACACTGTCCCTTCAATAAAGATTAACAATACATATAAACAATTGAAAGTGCTACTTTTAGTTATATACAGTATGCACAAGTATTTTATCCATTTCTATTCAACGATGACAAAAATCCATAACAGCTTTTTTTACACTGTCCTATTACGGAAATTATTTTGTTCCAACTATTCAGATCACAGCCCTCTGATTGAACCATGTACGGGAATACATTTCAAAAATTCTTTTAAAGCAGGTTTTCAGTATTCTGTCACTAAATACATTTTCAAAGTATTCCCCCAAAACTTCACTAACCAACATGTATTTTACTTGTACTGGTAACTAGGGCTGCACAATATCAAAAAAATATTGTTATTGCGATGTTGGTGCGTGCAATATCCATATCAAAAAGACGCACAATAAAAACAAAAGCAAAAATATATATATATCTTTTTTCCTTTATTAAAGACAACAAAACAGACACACATCAACATTCAAGAAGAACAACAAACAAACAAAAAAGTATATAAATATATGCATTTGAATTTCAATGTTGTGCTTATTTTTTGTTATGTGTCTCTTGCGTTTCAATGCAGATTGGAATTTTAGGTGAAAGACAAAAATATCGCAATAATATCGTTATTGCAATACTAAACACTCATATCAAATATTGCTCTAATTTTCATTATTATATGACTTGGACCGTACGCGCGCTCTGATTGGCTGATTACCAGTCTGATATTTTCCCATCTCGGACCGTTACCATGACAATTGGTCCGAACAGCGCGTATTACATTTGATATATTTCCTCGGAGCGTTACCATGACAATCTGTCCGCAGCGCGTATCACACAAAACCAAGTTGGACATGAACATACTTCACAAATATGTCAAAAGCATTGGTAAAGACACAGACGAGAGTCATATAATAAAACATTTATTAACCTCGCTTGCTCGGTCTGTACAGAGAAATATCAGACCTTGGCCTTTAAGGCCGCGGTCTGATATTTCTCCATACAGACCTCGCGCTCGGTTAATAAGCCGTTAATATTGAGCAGCCCTACTGGTAACATTTGTGGATATTTATCAACTTTTATGGGTTTTTTTTATCATTGCATTTCTTGTTTTTGAACAGTTTGATTATCTGATCTGTGTTGGCAAATTCGTCCTCTTACAACTACTGTTTTGATTTAGGGCTATACAAGAATACATTGAATGTAATTAAATTGTAGGTTATTAACGTTAACATAGATGGATTGCTCTGACTAATTGAATCGTATCTCTTCTTTTATTCCTTATATTCCTGCTCCACAGCAAGAGAAACTGGGCGACATCTGCTTCTCTCTGCGCTATGTCCCCACCGCTGGGAAACTAACTGTGGTCATCCTGGAGGCCAAGAATCTGAAGAAGATGGACGTGGGGGGCCTTTCAGGTAAAAAAGAACTTCATCTGCTCTCCACCTCCTGTTTCTCACACCAACACATGCTGCAGCGCTCCAAGTGCTGATCAACACCGCAGGCAGTAACTGACTCAATGTCACAGTTATACATAATAAAGAATAATTCCGGCACTGGCTCAACTCAAAAACCTGTAAGTGTTGTGATGGCATAGTCACAGCAAGTTTGCAACCGTAAAAAAAAGTCATAGAAATGTTAATATTGTCCTTTTTCTTTGGCATTTTGTGTTTTTGCATGTAGATTTAAAGGATAAGGCCGACACCGCATTTTTGTCTGTGTTATGTGCAACTTTTCATCTTCTTTTGAGGCTCATAGTTGCCTCTGTCTACTTGAATTTCTACAGAAGAATTGTTTCAAATTGCCATTGCTCTATTTTATCGTGCCTCAGCTGCTTTTGTGTGCGATTACACCCAGACCCACTTGCTTTATGCCCAAAAGCCGCTCCTCAATTTTGGTTTAAGTGTTCTGCAGAAGAGTAATATAGTGCACATTCAAAGGTAGAAGCTCACTTTCAGGCGGGGTGAGAGAGTTGTTATTGAAAAGTTTGTTATTGAAAAGTGATTTTTACAAGTTTCTGGTATGAATTGTGCAGAATAACGTCTGTTCAAATGCGTAATTATTTCAGCGTGTAAGCAACCCTACTGTAATGGCACAACAATGTTTTATGTATTTATAGTCATTCAGAAATGTTCAGATATCAGATATCCTTGTTCTGCTGCCGATGGATGGAACAATGTGCATGTCCCTAATAACAATAATTAGCCTCCATCCACATGGTGCTTTAAGTAGGAGGACAAGTAATTGATGGCCCAGAATCAGCCTTCTGCGCTATTGTCATCCTGTTTACCACGCCTAATTATGGCTCACAGAGGAAGATGTGGGTATTACCATTAACCAATGTATAATCAGAAATTATTCTTTTCATTGGCTCTTAGTGAATCAACCTCCAAATGGTCCCTCATGCTGTGCACTCTCCCAGACTCTCAAGGACGTTTTTTTGTATGTTTAAAATCCACCAAAATGTGGGTAATATTACAGAATGCTCTTAAGCTGTCGCCTCATTCCAGCTTCTAACAGACACGACTCCTCTTCCTGTGCTATTTCTCAAAACATTCTACTGTGTGTGTGTTCATCAGCGGTCCACAGTCGTGTCCCTAATCATCTGATATATCTGCTGGATAGTGCATTAGTCCATTTTGCAAAAGACGTGTGTGATAAAAGCCTTGTAATGCTAGTACAGAAAACCACAGAGTGAACACATACTCACCCTCCTGCTGTTGAATCATGTTATCTGCCGCTCTCACACTCCGGCTTATTGTCTGGTTAGAATGGTGCATTTACAGCGTCTCTGTGTGCTTTGTATCTCAGCATGCTCCACTATTTAAGGTGACTCACACTCACAGGGCTAAGTGTCTTGCTCCGTTTCACACATGTGAGCGCCCTCCATGGAAGCATCAAAACCTACACGCTCGGCTTCTGGTCATCCTTTAGAGACGTCTTTAAAATCATTTTGCAGCAAACATTTATGAGAGAAGAAATTCATGAAGTATTTTCAATGAAACCACTAATGAGCTGTTACATGGTACTTCTTCTACATAGTGATGCTTCAGACGTGTAATGCAAAATGGAATAAAATTAGTATCAACTTTCTCAATCCCAAGAGTCTTTAAGTCTTCTGAAGTCAAAAATACAGTAATTTCTGGACTATAAATTGCTACCTTTTTTCAAGTTCTTTTAACTCTACAGGGTATGGAGCTTAAACGGAGTGTAGGGCTCACCAGACGCCATGAGATTAAAGTAAGAAAAGCTGTTTGCATTTGTGATTACATGCCATCTTTATTTTGACAATGACATTCATGTGAAAAGATTACGACTTAATACAAGAACAAAGTCGTAATACTAAAAAATTGTCAGACTTTATTCTCATAAAATTTCAAGTTTATGATCATCATTTTAACAGATTAATCTTATCATTTTTAACTTTAGAGTCAAAATATTCTGACTTCAACTCATCACGTCTGGAAACAATAAAGTTGGGTGAGGCCTATGCTTCGTCGTATGTAGCAATGCGGCCAGTGTATTTATTTCTATTTTGTAGAGCTCCCTCTGGGTTCAGGAACGATTTTGTTCACAGCTCTAACAGCTGTGGATCTCCACAGATGATGACGAGTACACATTCCTGCTTCTGGGTGTTTTTATGTGAACAGCAAAGAGCAGTCACAGGAAAATACATAAGGCCAGTTTTCTTTATGTGATTAGGACTTGTCAGAGCAGTTTATGCTTTGATCATCACGAGTCGACAGTGCGTTAAAACACCTCCTCATTAAATCATGTTGTGTTCAGTTATTATAGTTGTCTGTCAGCTTTGTTTTGCTCGTCAGCTGTTAGTTTAGTGTGACAGTACAACATGAAGACCTGCAGCTTATATTCACATTTCTCTTCAAATGTTGCCCGTTCAGTTTGAATACAGGAGCGCTTAACAGTCCAGCAAGTACTGTAGTGTGTTGTCAAACTATTGTATGCAGCCGTGTAGTGTATGTTCATAGCAGCTTAAACTAATGGATTGTCTAATTATTTAATAGCACACACACATCCTGATCCCCGTTTGAAAACATAAACCACCGATACATGGAGAATTACAATACGCTTCATTTCTGATAGATGGAAGGCTGCTTTCATATAAATAACCCTAAAGATTCCGCACCGATGTGTATCTCTGCTGTGTGCTGTACGCGTATATGTGAAGGGGGACTTGTGCATCACAAGCGCTGCTATTCACCCATAAAATGACAGAGATTACATCCGTCTGGGATGAAACTGCAAAATGGGCCGGATATGAGCTACACTGAGCCTCCCGAACTCAATAATGCCGAGCCCTCATCTGCTGGCCACAAAGATAAGAAGTGCCTGGATAGCAGTGGCACAGGTGTCTTCTCTTTTAGGCTCTTTCAACATTGGAAGTGGTATCTGGCATCTTTCTATTTGGCTTTTGTAATATTTTCATTATTTATCATCAATAAACACTGGTCTTCATTTTTGACTAATCGAATGTGACTTCAGAAATCATTCACTTTGATTTAAAAACACTTTCTGATAAATTCAGTCTATTGAAAGGGTTATCATTGTTGTTGAAATTATATGAAAACATATCAATAATAAAGTTTGTGTTTCCATTTCTTTATTCGCACGCCCTATTCACATTGTGTTGAAATTACAACGCGTTGTTGTCAGGGGCAAAACTTTATTAATTGTGCAAATGACAGCCTGTGTCATGCCAACACATAATTGAAACTTTGGCGTCGTTAATTATACCTTTTTTGCTTCTCTAAAATTGTTGTGCATGGGAGAAACATATAATCAAAACAAGAAAAACAAGAAAAAGTGGAGCGCTAATCACTTTTTTTCCTAAGCTGGTGAATTATGCATCTGGCCTTTTGTAGCTGCGCATGACACACACAGAATCAGTCATACCAGTTTGATGAAGCTAAACAAATCAGCAGAAGTAGTGCGTCAAATGGCCCGAATCACCGGACTGTTTTTCCACACACACACTTTACCTGATTGCCTCCGAGTGGATAAGGACGGGAGGAGAGACCACTGTGTGCCACTCGAGATGGTTTGGGCAGATGGAGAGTGAGGCCCTTGAATGAATTGGTTTAACTGACTGATATAAGCAAAGCACACAAAGTAAAGTCATCACGTCTATTAGCACAATATAATGAATGGTTTGTCTGTGCCGCAGATCCATATGCAAAGATCCACCTCATGCAAAACGGAAAGAGGCTGAAGAAGAAGAAAACGACAATCAAAAAGAACACCCTCAACCCTTACTACAACGAGTCCTTTAGCTTTGAAGTCCCTTTTGAACAAATTCAGGTTTGTGGCATTCATTTCATATTTTAAGCTGTGATTTTACAAGTTGATTCTTCGTTTAAGACCTCAGTGGTTTTGACAGCTGGAGCACAGTCTCCCTCAGAGTGGTCACTCCCGGTGCCTGTATCTTGTCAGCTGTTTTACATCTGCAGTCAGACTTCTTCAGGACAGAACCCCAGGCGTGTGAAGCCCCCTCGTCCTGGTTTATTGTCCTGGGAGCACGTTTCTTTGTGTAAAACAGTTGGCAAGATTCGTCAGAAGAACATTATGTGACCACGCTGAGGAAGACTGTGAGGCAGCAGTTGGAACTGTTACTGGTACGAAACAAAACCTTCCGTTCTTAAAAAGAAAATAAACTTGTAGAATCTATCAGAAGACTAAATAAACCTCACTGGACTTTTGTGACTGTGACTGCTCTGGGTGGGGAACCTGCTTCTCTACTTGGAGATGTTATGAGATTGAAACTTAGTATTACTCACTGTGAATTGCATTGAGCCATTCTAATCAAAACGGAATTCCAAGCGCTGCGTCAAAGTAAGCCTAAAACTTCAAATGATTAAAAATGAAAAAAATATCTGCCAATTTGAATCAGTATTTAGAATTTAAAGCTGAATTTTCATCACCTTATAGTAACTTTTTTGAATACATGAGTATATATGATTAAATGGATTATGTTTTTCATTTAAGGCATGTTCACACGTAAATTAGGAGTGTGCTAACCGAGTTATGACGTTATTATTGACGTTTCAATCCAAAAAGCACAGTGCTTTTATGCATGCATCAAGGTACTTTGTCATGCCCAAAGTATTTTTTAATGATTCCCTCAAGCTTTAGTAGAGAGCCCTCTTTGTTTTTCATACTGGAGCGGGAGCTTGACGCCTCGCTTCACTTTGATGATGTGGCCCTGAACTGGAGAATCCCGCCTACATTCAGTAGCACTCACAATTAAGAGCTCTTCGTTCACTGTTTACTGGAACGAAGATGTTGATTGGATAAAGTGTGAGCACCCCTGTTATCTATAGATCTCTTTCAAAACTGACTCAAGTTTTGCTCCAACTGAACCAGAATTGGTCTAGTTAAAGTGAGCACGCCCTCAAACAAACCCATAATAAAGTTCAAGGAGTTTGTACTTGGGGATTCCAAGTACAAACTCCTTGAATCATTACAGTTGAATAGATGAGGAATTTAATATGAAATGGTTAATGCTGCTACAATGTAATTAGAAATCTGATTTAAAGGCACTCAGTTAGTTGTTGAACACACAACCTCTTCATAACCAATAATACCTCTTGGAGACTTCTGCAGGGCTAGGGTGCCTCAGGGAATCATTATGTTTTAGAGATTTAACACCATTTAATGAGTTAATCAATTTGCTTGCAGCTATGTTCCCTTCGATATAACAAGCTGCAAATTAATCTTTTTTCCCCTCTGTGTAACATTTCATCCTTTTAAAGCTGTTCAATGGGAAAAAAATCTTTACATTTGAAATAGAAGTGTCAATGCTTTGCCCAGAATGTTGCACGGCATTATGCATTACATACATTTGATCCATTAGATTCATTTTTGCTGAGTTTACTGTTATTACAAGGCAGGTTCTGCACATATTTTAAGGAGTTTAGTGACTGCATGACTGACCACAGGTTCCGTTGTTGAAAAGTACACTCATGCAGATGGTTTTTGCAACCCTGCTTCTAAATCACGGCCCTACATCTGTGAGATCAGTGTTGAAAGATTTTTTTGATATCTGATTATGATCATCAACATTACAGATCTCACTTTTACAATAGAGTCACGGTTTTAAAAACATTTAAATGACTCGAACATGCATGAATCCCATTATCTCTCCTTTGAATTGACTGTTTGCTACAGTATTTCAAAGGTGCTCTTATCGCAAAACAACTTCTGACATCTCTCAATTTGCAAGTGTTCTTACAAAAATCTCACACTCTAGAAATCTGACAAATCTAGTTGGTGGACCACAACAAATTATTCACACAAACAGCAGACAATGTGTGTGAATCTCAGTCTTCTCCCTGTGGCACCTGGTGTTCCCAGAGGTCTCACATCACAGTATCAACCAGGCCCTGCCCTGCTTAGCTTTTGAGATCTGATGAGAACAGGCTTTCGGAATCGGAATTGGCCAGTTATAATAAGTCCAGGTCAGTCCAAAATCAACAGATTGACCAATATGTTAGAAATGTACCAATTTGGCTTAACCCCAATTGTAATTTTATAATCCAACAATCCACAGCCTCTCCGTTGAGACAAGCAGGTAGCAAAAGCTCAGCGTGAAAAGTTTGGTATTGCATGTGTATCTTGTCATCTGCTAAGTGAATTATGCCTGACATTTATTTTCCTCCTGGATGTGAACTATTTCCTCTGTGGTTTCTCCTCTCCCCTGACAATCCCCTTCCTTTTTTTGTCTCCACAGAAAGTGCAGGTTGTTATAACTGTTCTAGACTATGACAAGATTGGCAAGAATGATGCAATCGGGAAGGTCTTTGTGGGCCTGAACAGCTCAGGGACAGAGCTGCGCCACTGGTCCGACATGTTGGCGAACCCCCGGAGACCTATTGCCCAGTGGCACGTGCTGAAGCCGGAGGAGGAGGTGGACGCGCAGCTCTCCACCAAGAAATAGACAGGGGCCCTTTCCGCACCTGCCTTGTAGTTCTCTTTAGCCAGTACGTGTAAATACCTCAGTGATATATAGGCCCTTTTATGTAATCTGCCCCTCCACCTACATTCGAGCTTTACCCCTTCTTGATTCACCCACACTATGATTTGTTCCCTTAATCCTTACGCCGCTTTCTTTTGTTCAAATTTGCTTTTCTATTGTCATACCCCAGTCCAAAACCCGTGACCAAAAGCCCCTTTTAAGCAATATGATCTGTATAAATAGCGCATGACTGAAAGAATTTATTGTACCACAGTTGTATATATGCGTATGCAGACAAAATGATTTCTAGTTTATGTGTTTGTATGTTGTTACCGTTTCCTAATCTGTGTATATCTTGATGTTTTTATTAAGATGTTCTATTTTAAATGATATAAATGCAGATATAGAGGAAAGCCAATAATATGTATATCCCAGGATATGAAAATTCTACCTTATACCTTATTACATTCCACAAATATTCCAACTTATGAGATGCTAATGGAAATATATCGTCATTCTAAAGGACAATGTTTGGCTTCATATTGAGATGATTCACTGCGGTAAGATATGCTGTATGTGCACACAAAATCCTAATTATAAGGCCATTAACTACTATGGTTCTGTAGGACAAAATTATGCTGCTGGAAATTATACAAGCACATGATTTATTACCACGTTTTTACTCCGAAAAGTTGATGCAAGCTGGTAGGAGTCAATGCAAATCAGTAAGCATCCTTTGTTTTATTCCCATGTTTGGCAGAATCTGGAGGATACTTTATTTATTTTACATATCAAACCACAAAAGAAGTTCCAAATAATACTCTACGCCTTTAGAAAAAAAATCCTCTTTTTTAAAAAGCACCAACTTGTAGCCATTGTGTCCTTAACGCTCGTAGTTGTAACTTCTTACTTTGAACAGCCTTGTCAATGTCAAAGGTGTTCTACACTTCACCTGGGGTCAGAGGAAGAAAGTGTACATTCTGAGAGACTCTTTTAAGATTCATATTTTTAAAACAATTTAGCGTCTTAACTATTTTTTGTAATCTGCATGATTTTTTAAACAATCTTTAGAAAACAGCTGAAAAAGTAGGAGTGCTTTTTCGACACTGGGGGCTGTCTCAATACCATATAGGTTACTGTGCCCTTGCCTTCAATCAACATTTGTGGTTGCTGTGTGTACATTACAGTTAACCGACTTATGTGAGGTGATTTCTGAAAAACACTGCCATTTTCTGAGAGGTGTCTTATATGGAGGGCCTCTCATCATGCACACTGCCACTTCCAACAGTGGATGTAGCTTTGGCAATGTCTTTGGCTGCACCGGTGCCCTCAATTGCAGTCTCTTTGCGTTGTGTTGCCTTCTGAACAGTGACAATAGAGCTAGCCTTGTTAAAACTGCCAATTTACCCTTCACATGGCTGCTGTTTTGCACTGGATGTCTTTGAACTAGTTTGTTGACTTTACAAACCATTGTTTAGTGTGATGGTGGTTCTCTTCCTTCTGCCAGCAGGAGAGTCTTCTGCCTGCTCAATCAACCGAAAATGAGAAAGTAATGACAAATCAGTTCATTTATCTTTCGTTGTTAGTGTGCTAATGGAAAAAACCGTAAAAGTTAATGGTCTATGTAGACGCCGAGTCTATCACGTCCTTTGCTACGGGTCCAATCTCAAGAAGGAGCGAGTCGAGTCCATGAAAACCATGAAGTGTTTTATCTTGGAGGAACCTCTTGCATATACTCAACGCTATAGCTTCAGGAGGACGTATAAATGTTTTCAATGTTATTGTGTAGTTGATAGCACTATTATGAAAAAAGCTATTTGTCATTCCATAGGAGTCTCTTGAGGACTGCTTTGTGTATCACTGTGACTGCTGTGTGTGCTTAGAGATGTAGATTTATCAGTAGGTAGCGATACAATCTGTTCTGTAGTGATGTTGTAGCGTTTTAACTCCATTTTCCCTTCTACATGCAGAGAAAGGGTGCGACGATGCTAGGCCATGGATAGGCATCGAGAAAACATGTAACATAAAGGCAGGATGTTTTTCGATTACTTCACACAGCATTTTGTTGAGCACTGTGCAATACTTCTATGTTCATCCCATATTGTTTGTGGGTGGCCCAATGATCCCAGTGAGTGCGTGACACAGCAGACTCAGATTCAGCCTGTAGGTGGGAGCTCGACATCGTTTGACCTCTCCGTAGGTTTCTCCATTGTTACAGGTTTGTTTCTCTTCTTGCACACAGTTCCAGCATCAGGAGTTTCAGGGAGTATTTGTTACACCAAACTAGATGCTACAGTTTAAAAGGCCCTTCAAATGGCGTGTATATATTTACAGAGTCTCGTCAAAATGTATCTAGAAGAAAGTACCGTGAATACGACTTTACTACCACAAAGATTTACTGATCATCCATGAACTGTGCTTCGTCTGTTGGCTACATTCATGGATCGTATGATTTTCGTTCCTATGTTATTTATCTTAGAGTCAAAATCCCTTTTTATATTTGAGATGAATGTACAGTATGAAACCAATGGTGTGGATTTATTTTACTTTGAGATTATATGTACTTTGCACTTGTGTTCATCATTTAAAAATGAATTCATATGAGTCATCACTTTTATTTATTTGACATGTTTTACTACACTACGTGTAAATTCATGACGATTAGAACAGCTTCAGTTGAATAAATATGCTATGTGCTTTACAGAAATAAATAAATCCTATGTGAATATACAATGCACAATTTTATCTAATCGGCTAAAACAATAATTATTCCAAATGAACCTGAAATAAATCAATGTGTTCAATATTCAGGGTCTTGAGCGATGAGTAGCATTGCAGCACACATGTGTGTGTCCTCTGAAGTATAAGCCATTACCTGCACTGTGATGCAATGCTACTGTCATGTCAATGTCCCCAAAGTCTGCATGCATTATCTCTAATGTTGTCTCGTTAAACAACTTACAAACTCTCTGTGCAACAAGGAACTAATGATTCTTACAAGTGAGACCAACAGACGCCACACTGACCTTTTCCAAACAAAGCTGTGTAAAGTATTAGAATCTGATGCTGTAGAAAGATCCTAGTTGCCTTTGTGTATATCAACTGCCTGCTTGAGTATTTTGTGTGTGAACATTTGATCTGTACTCTAGTAAAACTGTTTGGAGTGTTTTCTGCCATATCGCCCGCTGTGATGCGGGCTGCTGACAGTTATATTTGCTGTGTATACCTTCATTTTGATGAGGTGTTTTACAGTTTTGTTTCACTTTGTGTAGTGATTAACTCTGTGGAGTTTTCTGACTGTTGTTATATAACTTCATATATGATGATCAATAAAATGTTTTATTTCCTGTTGATACAGAATTTGTTATATACATTTTTTTCCCAAAAAGGAAGATTATGAAAAAATACAATACATACTATAGAATGTAAACAATATTTCAATATTGAAGGTTCATTGATATTTTCACATCACTCATGTTCATTATAATTGCTTACAGGAGAGCTGAATTATTAAGTCCATAGGACTAGGAGACATGGAGTTTCTGAATAAAACCCTTTTCCCAGTTAGACCGTTTAACTAAAGATACTAGGTCAATACGCACGTCCTTGATAAACTGACGTTATAAACTAGTAAACACTGCCATCTACAGGCAGTCCTGGATTATGTCATTGAAGGTTGCCTCAGCTACCGAGGCTCTGCTGTGGCCTCGATGTTATAATAGATCCATGGGTGGCCTCCCAAACTGATCCATTGCACTCATTCCAATCCCATATATCTTTGAGTTATGTTGTTTACAGACCTACAGTCCAAGCATAATCTTTATGTAACACCCAAATTATAAAATAGGTTACATTTACTTGAGCATATTTATGTTTCACGGTTTGTTTGGTTTTTGAATTGAATCTGTTTTGGAGAAAAAAATAATGGCTGCATGGACTCTTTGTGAAATCTGTAGTTTTGGCCTCTGATGACAAATGACATTTACTCTAATAAGTGGGAACAATTGTTGCACAGGGAGAGATCGAACTCCAAAGTCTACCCACATTTTCTGAGGATAATAGAAAGGACAGGAATGTAGACTTTTTGAAATAACATTTTATCGTGCCTCATCTCTTAAATTAACTCGTTACCTTGACATCCTGCTTTTCTTATTCTTTCTTGGGAACAGATTGGCCTCGAATTTGTAATGAAACATGGCTTTCCCTTCACATCCCACATGCACAGTTAGAGATTCAGTTGTAGACATAGGCTCTGACTTTCAGGGATTTCTGACCCATTGAGTCTAGACAAAGATTACATGCTAGGGAGATATTGTGTTGATTTCTTCTGGAATTTGAATTCAACCTTGGAAATGGAATGGTTTGAAATTAAGACTTAATGGGCTATATTCTATCCTTCTATAACTCTGTGGTGGCATCAGCCATCTTGTACGGTGTGGTCTGCTGGGACAGCGGCATCACAGAAAGGGACAGGAAGAAGCTGGACAAGGTCATTAGGAAGTCCAGCTCAGTCCTGGGCTGTTCCCTGGACACAGTGCAGCAGGTGGGGGACAGGAGGGTCCTGAGCAAACTAACATCTATGCTGGACCATGACTGTCACCCCCTGCAGGACACTCTCTCTGCTCTGGAGAGTAGCTTCAGTGACAGACTAATTCACCCTCGATGTGTGAAGGAGAGGTTTCGCAGGTCTTTCCTTCCTGCTGCTGTCAGACTGTACAACGAGAATGTGTAACAGGAACTGCTGAGTCTGCACAAGTGTCTCTGATAATTCACTAGTAACTGTCACTAGTCACTTTACCTGTTATCAGTACTACTACAGTACTACATATCTGATATTTACTGTTATCAGTACTACTGTATTATTTCATATCTGATAATTCTGCCTTTCACCAGTCACTTTACCTGTTGATATTTTACTGTATTATTACATATCCATCTGATCATTCTCCCATTCAAGTCACTTTACCTGTTGATATTATTTCTGATGTTTATTCTGCTCATATTCATATTCTCATATTCTCCGCTGCTAATGTATGATATAGACATCTGTAAATACTCCGAACCAAGTGCAATTATAGCCCAGAGTTTATCTTATTTTATTTTATTTTATCTTAAATTTATTGTCTATTATCTTAAATAATAGACTTTGATGTGTGCAATCTGAGTGCTCTTATTTCCTTTCTCTGCTGTAATGTGCGCAACGATGACACTGACATTTCTCCACTGTGAGACTAATAAAGGTTTATCTGATCTTATATTATCTTATCTTATGTGCACGGGGAGGCGTGAGGTCATTTCCTGTTAACACAGATCAGCCCGTTCACTTCCTGCCTATGCTATCCTATGGCTTTTAGGTGGGTTTTAGTGACCTTTTTTAGTAATTAGATTGATACATTCAGCTGTGAGACTGATCCAAAAGTGTCGCTGTGCTTTCTCTCCGAGGTAGAGCTTTGACTGTGGCCACTCAGAGAGATTTGTAAACTTTATGAAAACACAATGACAGCACAATCAAAGAGCACTGCTGTGTCCCAAAAGAGCCCAGTATCCTCACAGTTTAATCCTCGTTTGAGCATTATTTGGGAAACTCGTGTAAACCACTGCTGAACAGGAAGTGAAACTCAAGCCATTTCCCGCGAACAGGAAGTGAAGTGGGGTAGTAGCTAAAACGCGGAAATGGTGCGTGCATAGCATGTGCATAGAGCCTATCACTCCCGTATTCGTCCCGGAAACCGGATTCGTCCGGAAGTTCAGTTTGATCCAATGAGCATACGCAGCAGTAGATTACGTCACGGAATCTGGACGGAAGCGGAAGTAAATATAAAAAACTACCTATTCATGCCTAAACTTAACCAGCCATTCCCATAAAATAACCCCACCCAGCCTTAACCCTAAACTTAACCATCTTAATCAGACGCCTAAACTTAACCAGTCACCACTTAAACTTTTTGACATGCGCAAACTGAACTTCCGGACAAATCCAGTTTCCGGGACGAATACGGGAGTGACAGAGCCCATTGTTAACAATATCCCTTTCACAGTAGAAACACGTTTCACTAAAATGAGGCTATGTAATAAAGCTGAAAGGGGACCATAAAGCAAAACAGTTCTGGCAGAAACACATAAAATCCCCTTGAACGTTATTTCCACATTTTTGGAAAACATTTCATAGTGAGTTCAAACTTCATGGTAACCATAATCTCGGCCGAGAAAAGGTGGAGGTAGGCCGTCGTCGAATTACACTTTTTCGTTTTAGAAAAAGAAAAAGAAAAGTTGTATATTTCTTGAAAATGGGCGGCACGGTGGCTGAGTGGATAGCACTCTCGCCTCTCAGCAAGAAGGTCCTGGGTTCGAATCCCGGCCGGACCAGGGCCTTTCTGAGTGGAGTTTGCATGTTCTCCCCGTGTCTGCGTAGGTTTCCTCCGGGTACTCCGGTTTCCCCTACCACTAAAAATATGTACAATAGATCTGGCATACGCCTCCTGTTCGGCGACCCCGCTCCCATCTCTGTGTGGAGTGAGAGGACAAGTGCCCAAAAATAACAATTGTAAACCGCTTTGAGACTCTGGTCTGTGAAAGGCGGTATATAAATAAAGCTTACTTACTTACTTACTTAAAATATTTGATTATAATACTGTCGGGTTATGGTTCATTCTATATGTATGCATTGTTTGCATTGCATTAACTACCGGGATATTTTGTTTATCTTCCTGGATATGGTTTGATCCGACACTACATGAAAAGCGGCATAACGCTAAATAAAACATAGAATAAACGATGACTTTATTGTTGCATCCTAAACCGGAAGTTGCTACGCGTTAATAGCGTTAGCTGTTGTGTTAGCTTTAGCATTGTGACCGCTCGGGTGGAGTTCCCTCTACGCATTTACTTTTCCTCACTGAAGGACTTCAACGTTACATATTGAAGAACTTATTTGCGCAAGACAGACCAACATGTTGTCCTATCTCATAGGCGTAAGTTCAGATTCTTTTATGATAATTATTGTTTTTGCTCGTTGATATAGTAAGTTTGATGTATTACACAAGCTAGCTGTAACTAGCTTGATTGTGTTTGTAGTCAGACCATGGAATGTGTGACTCATGAATCCCATGCAGAAGCATGTGTAAAACACAGACTGTATTATAAAACATAGCACTCATATGTTTGGAGTATCAACTCTGCCTTCAACACTCACCAGAAGACACTTTGACTTATATAATAAACATGTTACAATTCAAATCTAATGTCTTTTATTATTACAGCTTATCCGTGGGGGCGTGGATAGCATTGTGAACTTCATTTTCAGGCTTCTTTTTGCAAAGCGGAGACCTGCTATCACTCTACAAGACCCAAACATCAAATATGCTCTCCGTCTTGTTGACAAAGAGGTTGGAGTGCTTAAGTTGTTTTACAACTTATTGTGTAGGGCTGTGTTATTTTAAAATTATATATATATTATATGAGTCCTTTTATTTTTTACTGAATCACTTTCTATTGTTTAGAAATGTACCGTATTGAATCTTTTCAAATTGAAAGTCCCCTATTCCTAGACTTGTATCGTATCAACAGTCTCTGAAAGAAAACCAGCCCTAATATTGACTTTGTTTTAACTTTGTTTTCCACTAGATTGTCAGCCATGACACACGAAAGTTTCGCTTTGCTCTTCCTTCATCTGCTCATGTTCTTGGTCTCCCCATAGGTAGCGTTTAACAATGTTTTAATATTGTTTATTTAACAGTTTGATTGAAGGGTTGTTTGAAGTATTAACACTGGACTCATTTACAGGTCAGCATATCTACTTGTCTGCCAGAATAGACAGCAAATTGGTTGTTCGCCCATACACTCCTGTATCTAGTGACGATGACAAAGGCTTTGTAGATCTAGTGGTGAAGGTAAATCTTTTCAACCATAACCATCTGAAATTAATGTAACCAAATTAAATGGAACGTTTTGTTTATCTTTCAAAGATTTACTTCAAAGATGTTCATCCTAAATTCCCTGAGGGTGGAAAGATGAGTCAGTATTTGGAGAGCCTCAAAATCAATGACACGATTGACTTCAGGGGGCCGAGTGGTCTTCTCGTGTACAAGGGAAAAGGTAAAGTAATTATATTAACAAGGCCTCAAAAACATGGAAATTTAACATCAGTATTCTCTGCACAGGAGTGTGTTCTATCCAACCAGAGAAGAAGGCTCCTGCTGAAACAAAAACTGCCAAACATCTTGGCATGATTGCTGGAGGGACAGGTACTATAAAACTAGGTGTTACCATAACATTTATATGGTAATATATTCCTAGCTAACTTTGGAGGGAATCCTCGCCTCGGAGGCTGATGAGTACTCTCTCTCTCCTACTTTGTCCCCCGTGGGCCATAATCATACAATTCAAATGTAGAACAAAGCTGAAGATGCTGTTGTTCGTGATACGTCACGGTTCCATGGTTATATTCAAAACCTCTTTAGTATAATTTAACCATTCTTTAGACTTTTTTTCTCCACTTCATCCCTGAACTGTTTAGCGTGTTCCTTGAACTTTATGATGCTCTTTGGTGAACAATGGATTATGGTTCCTTATATTCTATCATATTTTGCTACAGCATTACAATATAAAATGGCATATCCCAGCTTTTTACAGATAATACAAGATTGACTCCCTCATAATTGAACTAGTCGTTAGATTTAACATTTGTTTGAATAATCCAGGAATCACGCCTATGCTACAAATCATCACAGCAGTGATGAAAGATCCAGAAGACAGGACCGTATGCCACCTGTTATTTGCAAACCAAGTAGGTAGCCTTCATTCTTACATATACACATAGTTGTATTTGTTTTACGTGAACTTTAATCTGATCACAAACAGACTGAGAAAGATATTCTTCTGCGACCTGAGCTGGAGGAGATACAAGTAAACAATCCAGACCGGTTCAAGTTGTGGTTCACAGTTGACCGGGCACCAGCCGGTAAGTGATCCAGCCTATCCAAAGGGATTTTAGCATTAGCGATATATCTGTTGGTCTTTAAAGATATTAATGTAGTATTTGTCATGCAATAGTTTACATAACATCAGTGTTAAAGAAACGTTGAATTTATTCTGCATTAATAATTACATGCTGTACACTTACTGTATAAAATCTGCTTTTCAGATTGGGAGTACAGTCAGGGTTTCATTAACGAGGACATGGTCAGAGAGCATCTGCCCGCCCCCAGTGATGACACCCTCATTCTGATGTGTGGGCCGCCGCCTATGATACAGTTTGCTTGTAATCCAAACCTTGATAAAGTAGGACACCATGAGAGCCGCAGATTCACCTTCTGAGGAAAGGGGGCGCTAAAGGCACTGCCTTTCAAACCTGTCATGTTGCACTAGAAAATATTTACTGCACAATGGTGTTTATAATGCAATTTGTGTCAATATGGCGATAAAAGCAGTAAGGGAAATGCTTTGTTTGACTGTAGCTCAGACACGTCTCCTTCTGGTCTATGTAAAGCTCCAAGTGAGTACCAGGAGAATCGAGTCAATCTGGAGTCTGAAATATGAAGAAGAGTTTCTATACAGCTGACATTAGATACAAAATGCAGATAGATGGTGATAAAAATGCATATTATTTCACTGCACAATATCAGGATTATATTTTGCTTAATTGTTTGCTTCATTGTCCACTTATACAATCAGTATCTGTCATATGCTACATTTGTTTTTAGATGAAAGAATTATGCCAAATCTAATGTTCCCAGTTAAACACGAACACTGAGCTATACAACTACACTATTTGGGAGTGCCTTAACACAGAGCTTTATTCATCAAATGAATTTTACGTGATGTATTTTTGACTGCGGTGTATATTTTAGTTTATATTGTACGTTTCTATGTTGTATATAATGTTGGCACTTGTGGCAGCAGTGTACATGTCTATGATATGCATACAATTTAAATTAAATATTGTGCAATTAACTTTATTCAAATTATTCATATTGAGAGCTCATCTTGGATGTAAAGAGACATTTCAGTTTGACATTTTTAATAGTGTAAAGTAAAATGTTTAATAGTGTAAAGTAAAATGTATCAAACATGCACTTGTGAGAATACCATATGAAAAGTATTTGTTATAAAGGATTAAACAATGCAAACAGTACAATCCCAGGTCCATGGCTTCATTGCACAAGTACGTTATGTATCCAGGCATTCTTAAACACAAGTTGTGTGGTCGCTGAGGAGATGTGTGCTAATGTGATTTATATTCTGATAAATGCATACAAGAGTGCCCACCATGTAGTAAAGAACTCAATTGTTATTCAATTTAAATTCATCAAAACTATTGAAGATGGACCAACGCTGAGGTCACGACTACTGGGTCAATACAATGTAAATTAGAGTGTAATGTTATGTTTAGTCAAAGTTTAAGTTACAAAGTGAGAAAGGTATGTTTACCTTTCTTCTACGTTTACAGATTTGCAGCCAAACTCAAATTTTCAGTAAATAGCCTCATTAAAACTTCCACATAGATATCCCACTAGTACCATACATGGATAATCATGCTATTAAATATGTAAAAAAACAACTGCTGTAATAATGTGTACAAATATTTGGCCATGGTCAGCTCACAGTTGGTGTTGGCACAGTGGCCTCTCCTCTCATCTAGTTTATTATTTGCACTCCGTTATTAGTTTTCTGTCTCTGTCATCTCCTGGAAATACTCTTCCTCCTTCAACATGCTCTGAAAAATGAGAGTACAATTTCATGTTTTTATTATTCTTGGAATTTCTTTGCGGCCATAATCTTAGAATTAAAGAAGTAACTCACAGTCAAATTGTTTATCTCTTCTGAAAACGCTCCGATCTGTCTTACAGCCCCCTCTGAGTCCTCCATCTGCCACAGCATCAAACAATCAGTGCCAATGTTAAATCAACATGTGTTAGTGCAGTACCTGTTCAAGGTGATCAAGGTCCTTATACGCCTGAGCCCCCCTCTGGAAGCTGCTGCTGTGGGGCATTTCCACATTCATGGGGCAGACAAACTCATCGCTATCATCCTGCCGTTTCCTTCGCAATGATCCAAAGCTGCCAAATGATAAGCGCCTGGGCTAAGGACACAAAAGTCATTGATTATATACAAAAAAATATAACCAATATAAAATTGACATATCGAACCATTGTTAGTATATTTTTATATAGAACCAATATTGTTCATTTTTAATGTCAATCTTATTCAAATAAATACACATTTTAACCAGTGGTACTACCTTGACCTTGGCGGTGGCAGTCAGCACAGTGTAGTCTGGGTTTTCCAGGCAGTCCTGTTTGAGGCGCTGTGCTTCTGAGCCGATGAGCAGGTGGAAATGCGTTGCCAGGTGGCGCCTCAGCAGGGTTTTATTTGGAGGAATATTAAGCAGAAGTGCCAGAGATTCTATATTGAAGCGAGGCTCCAACACCTTCAGGAAAGTACAGCATTTTGTTCAGAGTAAAAATAAACTTTGCAACAGACACATATGTGCTTAGTACATGTCGGTCTTACCATCAGCCCACCATGTACCCCGCTGCCCCTCAGGTTTGGGGCATACTCTGCCAGATCCACAGACCTGAGCCACTCCATCACTCTGTGATTGGTCCACTGAGCAATTTCTGCTGGTGTGATATTATTCTACACAAACATTTTAAATGTTAATCCACAGTTTAATTAGAAAACTTTGTGGATGTGTGTGGGTTACCTCATCAGACGGTCTGCGTCGGAGGCAGCTGGGGTCATACGAGTTGAGTCGAAGGACTTGAATGGCTCTTTTAACGCTGAGGTGATGAAGAACACTGCCGACTTTCAGAGACAAGAGGTCTTCCTAAGCCACACAATGTACAACAATGGCCATAGGTTAGGTTTATGGTCCATGACCCTTCAAAACCCACAAGAATATGGATTTGAACTGGACTCACCACAGTCATGCAGTCCAGCATACGGCCGTCAACACGAGCCTCGTCAAAGTTGCTTTTGTACTGTGGGAGGCCGATGTCATCCAGCCACCCTAACGAAACAACCACGGGTGTTTTAATCAACAAAGTGAAATATGAAAATGCACAAGGATTAAACAAATGTGTGGCTCACTGTTGACCCAGTGGTGGTCCAGTCTCCCCTGAAGGTCGTCCTCTGATGCGAGAGCCTGTAGAGCCAACTGCAGCTTCTTCCTGTGGAGTGGCTGCCTAATGCCCATCTCCTGCAGAGCAGCGGTTAGAGAGGATTACCAAGGCAACAGCAGGTTCAGAGGGTGAAACACTTCAAACACATTTGTGAAACAAATGCATCAAGGTCATTCTCCGTGATTAAATGGGCAGAGAATACACAAGACAGACATTTAGCCACTGAAATGGTATATTACATATCAACAACACTTTCTCTGGAGAAAATTACAAATACAATAAAAATCAGCAACACAAATTATTACCTGTGCAGCACAGACAGACATGGGAGGTGTGGTGGAGGAGGCAGGGTCATATTAGGTCTCTATTGTGTTCAATCCATCAGAACTATGTTTGTATTTTTTATTCCTCTCTAAATATGTACAATATGTAATTGTGTAAAACTCATTCCCAACTTAGAAGAAAGAACTTAAACCGAAATTTTTGTCTGCTTTACATGTTTATTCAATACATGTAATTAAGCTTGTGTGAAATTTCAAAACATTAATAAAAGAGAAAGGGTATGTAACCAAGGAAACCTATGCCTTACCTTTTCCAGATCATGTTGTGAAGCGTGCAGAAGTGTTTGTCCAGACTTGATCCAGTTCTGGCCTTGGTTGGTGTAAAGTCCCAGGCCTTGTTCATGCAGCCACGCACACACCTCCTCTTTACTCCACTGTGAGAACGGGGCATTTACAGCTCTGAGAGGGGACAAGCAACACTCATCAGTCCAACTTTGCCCTGAATATAGGAATCCATGGTAAAAGGTTTTTTAAAGGGGACACTTGCTGGTGTTTTGGTTCACGGGACCATTCGAGTCGAGGTCCAGCTGTTGCTCTGACTCCTCCCCGTCTGAACTCCATCTCTGCGTCGTCCAGGTTAAACGATGTAGAGTGACTTCTCTTTAGTCTACAGGAGTTATGGACATGTTTAGATGTTTGTACCTTAGAATACGCATTCAACCTGAAAGCTAAAATACAAACAAAAACACTTACCGGCCAAAGAGCTTCATCAAACCCTTTGACTTCTTTTTGGTTTCTGGTGACGTTGGTGACGGAGGTTTTTGACAGCTAACCCCTGCCAAGTCCAGATGTTCTGTTCCTTTACGTTCTGCTTCCGAAACAAAATTATAGAAAGTGAACATCAATCGATCAATACATTATTATTCGTAGAGCACCTTTCCTACATAAAGCAACACAAAGCGCATCACAACCCACATAAAATCAAGCATAAATCATAAAACATTAAAATATACAATTCAAATCCAACAGGGTATAAAAAACAAACATTAGGATCACAAGAAATATTAATAACAAATAAAATCACAGTAAGTGAAGTCATTAATGAATTCATTCATCACACATGGGATTAAAATCATAAATAGTGTAAATATAAAGTCATTCAGTTGTATGCACAGCTAAACTGACAGTTTTCAAATCCGGGTTCAAAATAGTTCTGAGCCTTTCTCACATTTTCAGGAAGACTGTTCCAGACTGTTATGCACAAATCTGAAACGCTGCCAGCTCCAATATTGAAAAAAATCTCAAACTTGTGCTGCCATTTCATGACTGATAATTTGGTATAGCAACAGAGATAAAAATGTCAAAAGATTGAACAGAACTTTAGATAGATAGATAATTTATCGATTCCCGTAAGAGAAATTCAGGTGTCCAGTAGCAACAAAAAAAAAAAAAAATATATATATATTTTTTTATGTAACCGATAAGTAAAATACTCACCGAGAGTTGTAGCGCTATCTCCATGTTTTCCCCCTCGCAGCTTGAAGAATCCTCTCCCAAAAGATGCACGCACTCTCTTACTCCCAAACTTCTCCGTGCTAGGACTTGTTTTTGTAGATTGATTTAAAACCTACAAAAGAACACCATGTAATGTCATAATTGGCCACCAGATGTCACCCAAACATAAAAAAGCACCCGTCTTGTGACTGTCTTGTGACATTGTTTAGTACATTTGGCACTTTGTTGTGTTTGCAGTGCTTTTGGTAAATGAAGAATGATAATATGAATACATAAATAAATAGTATTGCAGTGTGTGTGACGTCTTACCTTCAGATTTTGGCTTTCCTCTACTGCGCTCCCTGGGCCTTCAAAACAACTGTGCACAGAATCATGTGTAAAAACAACAGTAGCACGCCTTATTTTTGTAAAATATTTATCTTTTATGATTTACCTTTGTGATGCCTTTAATTGTCGCTCCCCATCGAATTCATTCACTATACAAGGACCAGACTGAAACACACACACACACCCTTAAATTCTATTAATAATTATATTGCCCTAAATCACAACAGGGGACTAAAAAAAACATTGAATTCGCCAACACAGATCAGAGAATCAAACATAGACTGTAAATATCAAACACAAGAAATACACATTGGTCACCTGCCCCCTATGGGCCAAAACCTATGTCCATAAATCTTCATAAATGTCCATGAAAATTGTTGAATTGTGAGTGTCCTGGATCATCACCACTGTCCTTGTGTTAGTTCCTTCTACATCTGCAAGGAACAACTCTAAAACCCAGTGGGGAAAATATGAGAAACTATAATACCAAGACATTTTTCCGCTCATGAAATCTGAAGTTGAGGATTTCGGGGTCGGGTGGGAGGCTTCTCAGAGGAAGCAGCGAGTCTGGGCTTTATCCTGTGAGAAAAAATGTTTTGACAGAGGCAGCGTGTTTACCTCCCCAGCGGTCCTTCCTGCTTCGGCCTCCGTGACCCGCCCCGCCTCCACCATGGATCCTGGGTACGAGGGGTCATCCTGGATATCGGCATAGTCATCCTCCCTGAACCGCTCTGAGAAACACACACCTCTGTTATGAGGCCAGCACCGGTGAGTTGAAGTTGTTAGTACGTTACTGACCGTGAGCGGCCTCCCCAACATTCTTGCACTTTGTAAGGGATAGCTCCAGCTGCTTTATTCTTTGCTCCTGAGATAAAAAAAAAAAAATCTCCAGTAGATTTCTCCAGTGTGAGATCAATTAAGTCTAAACATGTGCAACAATATGACACATGTTTAATCTCGTACCTTCTCGTCATTGGCTGATGTCAGTGACTCCAGAATTCTCTTCATTTTCAACCTTTCTGTATCTAAACACACAATCATGAGCAAAAAAAACATTATCAAACTTTATTATAGACTTATGATCCAGAATGAGACAAATGCATCACACAAAACAACACACATAAAAGGTTTGTACATTTGTCAAAGATTTAAAATAAATAAATAAAACTATAATAATATTCATAATAACAATAATAATAATAAAATGAAAACAGAATAAGCGTCAGTCCTCCAGGCAAAAAGCTGTACCCATGTCTCCGCAGATCAGACGGGTGCCGCATTTGTCAGGCTTATGGTTCTACTGCTTTGACTTTTATTGTGCCAGCTAATAAAACTGAACATCAGACATGGCAAGACTGTTTGTGTCTGAAGGACTAATGACATTTCAGAGAGAGCGCTTCCACTTTCCCTCCAGCCGTCATTGTAAATCAAATTGAGTTGGTAAATCGTTTTTGGTGTATTTTTCCACAGGTGTGTTGTGTAAAGTGTCGTACAGTAGGTTTTTAAAGTCTTTTTCACCTCCACTGTACAAGCAGATTGAGTGTGTGTTTATGTAATTATTTTGTAATTATCTTTTCGAAATTGTTGTGTCTGTATATTTACATGTTTGTATGTTTGGGCTAATGTTTAGGACCCCCTTAAATAAATCTTCAACTTAGCCCAGATAAGTGACGTTAAACATAAATGTGAAATGTAGTAGCAGTTTTATATTGTAGTATTTTGCCAGATATATTTTAGTGCCATATAAATAATAATACGTTTCACCTCTTTTTGGTATTTTTTTCCCCCCAAATATAATGCTAATAACAAAACATGTGGAAGATGGTAACTCGAGAAATACAACTTTTTGATAACATTTGCTTTGTTTGAGTTGTTTTGAATCTATCAAAATTAAACACAAGCACAGATGAAAACAAAATCCAGACTAATTCAACTGTTATTACCGTGGCAACAGGGTGGGCATTGTAATCGTTTGTGTGCGCGTGTGCGTGTGTGTATTGGCAAAAACTACAGGAAGGATTGAGCTTCAGTTTTTGTGTAGATGGAATGTGAGGGGAGTAGGGCCCCATATAAATCCTGAGGTGATCGGGGGAGTTGGCGGGGTATGCGCGCTCCGAGTGCACGTTCTAGTTATTATTCCTGCAAACACGCCGCTATTCTTTTGGGAAATGGATGCAGAATTATTGAGTTTTTATACTTAATTCTTGCTTCTTCATTTTGCTAAATCTTGGACTTGCTTCCTATTCCGCTGAAGCTAAGGATTTTAAACTTGCTTCTTTATAATGCTAAAGTCAGTTATTGTATTTCATTTTAGTATAGACTTCCTGTTTATTTATTTTGTTGTGTGCTCCTTAATCCTACCTGTGATGCAACACTGAAATTTCCCCAATGTGGGACGCATTAAGAATCTCTTAAATGTATTGAAACTGATGAATTTATGTATTTGTTTTGTTTGAGATTAAGATTTCCTGTATTAGTCCCACAGCGGGGAAATTTCAGTGTTGCATCACCCAGCACAACATAAGTTAACAATAACTATACTATTTAAAATAAAACTAAATCTCTAACTCTAGCATCAAAGAAACAAGTATAAAATCACTATCTTTAACATAATAAAGAAGTATGGATGGATGTGTTTTTGCTGCTACTGGTCATGGGGGATCAATAAACCACTTTTATTAATGTTGTATTCGAAAACTGTTAACATGGGAGGTACAGTATGTGTGTTACCAAGCTCACATTTGAACGCCCTCATGGACCAAGGCATTCCACTGCAGTCTGGATCATGTCCGCAGCAGTAGGAGGTGTAAACTGGATGTTCGGTATGAGCCTCCCAGATAAGGAGTCGGGGGTTTATTCCGAGACACTGACATATCATACGTCAGACGAACAAAGAAACGAACAATCCTGCTTAAATTTGGCTTCGGGTAAATTTGCTGTTATTGGATGAAATGTCTCGTGTCTAATCCACAGGAAGCCTTTTGTATATTGTTGTGACTGAAAAAGTAGTTTCCTGACCCCTCTCTCCTCCCTCCACTCTGCTGCAGCTGTCTGCTCTCAGCCGCCCTTCGTCCTTCAGTCTCGTCAGCTCCGACTCCTGCTCGTCCAAATGGCTCTGAAGCATCAGCACTTCATCCTGGCGCAACAGAAAGAAGACAACTCTTTTTAGTTTTTATTCACATGTGCATTTAACATTTCTAATAAGAACACTTTGAATGAAATGTGAACCCTTTTACCTTCTTTTCTTTACTTATCTGTTGTTTGTGTTGTGATTTATGTAAATGTGATTTTTAAGATAAGATAAGATAGACTTTATTGATCTCACAGCGGTTAAAAATATAGTCTGTGCAGGATATAATTATGTGCAAAAAAAATTAAAAAATAAATAAAAGAGTGGTAATAGCAGTGCAGTTTTATGAATATTCTTTTGTAGAAGCCAAGTCTCTATCTTTTTAACTACAACAAAAATCTACGCATGTGTACAGATAAAGTCACCTTGAAGCTTGAAAATATAGCTAGACTGCAGAAGTAAATGAGATCAAGCATTACTACATATCTTCCAAGTGCCAAAATCAAATTGGACAGCAGAATTCTGTCAAATTAATTAATATACGTAATTTTCATTATTAATTATATGGTTTTTTTTTAAGCGGCTTTAAAGAGTCTAGTAATCCCGACGCAGGGTGTGTTAGGGGTCACTGACATTTTATTTTGAGCCAGAGAGAGTGTCGTCTGCTCATCAGCTTTAGGGAGGAAACTTCAGCTCCAATGATCTTTGTTGTCGTTCATACAAGTCTCTGGATTTTGGATTTGTCCTTCACTGAGAGAACACACCAGACTGCAGGATCCCAGACAGTATTCAAAGATAGAGCAGTAGTAAATAGTCATTATTATTATTATTATTATTATTATTATTATTATTATGTACAGTCCAAATAGCTGCAAGCGTCTCAGGAAGTAATCTCTAGGCTCCATAAAGCACCATCCAATTTTGCGCACAGAAAGTCGGCCTCATCATGTTGAAAATGTTGGTCGATGTTCAGGCGAAGTCGCTGAATTTGATGAGCAAGAGGATTATTGTTGTGAAAGAGAAGCAAGGGAAAGACTAATGAGCTCCAAAGGGCATGCACTTACAGATCAGACATTCTCATAAACATCCACAGAAAGAAATACATTCATTAATTCATAATTGAAGAGTCCAGATTAACTCGGAAGGTTCGTGCAAGGGTTCAGACTTTTTTTTAGTAAACAATCCTACAAGCTGCTCTCTCTGATGAGTTTGACCTCCACGCTTTCCATAAACTGCCATTTCTAATTACATAAAGGGCGTTGCAACCTGAAATGTGAAATCTTGTATCTTTCCTGTTTGTGATCATCAATCCTTTCAACTTAGAGGAAGGCCGTCTATTGTTGGGACAAAGTTAGAGGAGTTTTACTGCTCCATCATCTTGTCTTTCTAACGCGGATTGTGAAAAGCCAAAAAGACACGGTTAAATAAGGAGGTATTATTATTCCTTTTTTTTTAAAGAGCAGCTCTCCTCTCTTTATGGCCTTACAAAGTACTTCATAACAAGCTGTAGACTTTTTCCCCCTGCTGCTGTCAGCTAATAAACCAGTAAGTAAGTAAGTAATGTTTATTTATATAGCGCATTTTACTGACCGAGGTCACCCAAAGTGCTTTACAATGTCTCTCCTCATGGTGATGACGGAAGCAAGACGCCAAACACACTGGCGCATCAAAGCCCCCAACCAACATCATCCATTCACTCAATCACAAGGGGAGGGGGTTAATCCCAGGTTATAGATTTAATGTAGATTTTACTATTCATGATTTAAGTAAATGTCTGTTTGTATGTATCTATAGATAGAACAAGTTATCTACCCAACATGATATCACCAAATGATGTGTCTGGGACTCTGAGGAGCACAGGGACTGGCCTCCTGCTGCTGAGTGCTCAGAGTCAGGACTAAACATGGGGAGTTTGGATTTCAGCCTCATGCAGTTAAAGTCTTCCTGAAATTTTGGGACAAGCTAAACCTAGTTCTGTTTATCTGTGCACACAACTGAAGATGTGTCTACTCTGAGTTTTCCTGTGTATGAACTGCAAACTATACAAGGACTATGCAAGCACTCTTTAGATATTACATAAATACACTATAATGAAAAGAAAAGAACATACATTTTTTTCTCTCATGTTTCTTTCCTTTGCTTCACTGTTCACACAATAGAATGTTTTTTTTCCACTGCTCAAATGTACAGTATATGATAAATGTGATTGGTGGAGTCGGCTGCAGTCTTTCAGTCTGCCTTTAAGCAGTACACAGAAGTACAGCAGAGAGCTCATATCAATCATCTTCATGGTCATGTTTGAGGATTCCGTTTCAGTTTGAGAACATACAAAAAACCGGGAGGGATAAAGAGGTCCACGAGAATGAATAGAAGAAAATCGTGACACAGTGAGGGACTAAAGAGCTCAGGAACATTTCGACCTCAGTAAAATAGTTGACACTCACTTGTGTATCTCTGAGTTTCTTCTCACACAGAAGTCTTTCATTCTCCGTCTCCGTCATCTTGAATCGTAGGTCGGATACTTCCTGGAACAAGTCCTGAGGCAAAGTAGATTTGGATCACGTATTCAACTCACTGAGCATTGGTTGCATTCATGTGACATCACAACATTTCAAAGAGCCTATAGTCCTGGTAACTATGGTGTCAACATTCAGACTTTTAGTTTTAGTTTATGTGAAATGTCTCTGTAAATCCTGGCTCAATCCGCATGAAATAAAAACTGTCACAAAGTTCCAGTTTTTTTGTCAGTGCATATTAACTATGGTCTATTTTCTCATAAAAAGAGGTCTAGAAGTGGTCACAATATAAAAAAAAAAAAGAATACATGCAGTGGGGTTGGGTGCTCTTCAGAACCAAAATTATAGAAATATTTCTTTGTGTCCTTGGCAAGACACTTAACCTCTGGGAACACCAGCCACAGTGGGGCGGCTGCGGCTGTAAAGTGCCAAACTGCTGTTGTGTTCTTAGGCAAGACACTTTACCCCCATTGCCTAGAATGAGTCTGGTGTGTGTGTGAATGGTTGGTGGTGGACGGAGGGGCCGATGGCACATACTGGTTGCCTCGCTTCTGTCAGTACACCCCAGGGCAGCTGTGGCTACAGTAGTAGTTTGTGTTTGGAGTGAATGAATAATGACACATGTGAAGCCTCTTTGAGTGTCTAAAAAGCGCTATATAAAACCAATGCATTATTATTATTTCAATGTAGACGTTTTTTCTGCAAAGGGTAATAAATAGATTCCGATTCTGAAATTATAGAAATATTTGAAAATGGAGAGAAGTAGATCCCAGGCACTGAAAAGTCCTTTATCTGCTAAATTAAATACAGTAACGACCATATCACTAATCAAATCATAACATATTCAAATTCATTATATTTGCCATTAGCAGTAAAACCATCTTGGAATACAGTTACGAGATGACTTCCAATCCAAAATATGTTGAAATATATACATTCCACAGTGCATTCTCTGATAAAACTGCTTGTGGAAAGAGCATGGACACAGAGAAGGTATGCGATGGGTGAGTGGGAGTTGGGGGAGCTCTGGCAGGAAACAGCTGCTGAGAATTGTCCCGTAACCTCTGATGGAAGTTCAGCCCACTACGCATGACTGGGACCATCGGGCAAACTCCAGTGAACCTTTGTGTCTTCATAACAATGACAGGAAGGCTGCCAAAGTCTGGAGGCGCAGTTACGAGCGGCCGATGTCACAGTGGTACTTGAATATCTGCCATTTCCCGTCACCTGGGTGTCTCTCTGATCGCGCTCCAACGAAGACAGCTTCAGCTTCAGACTGGACACCTCTGTCAACAGCTCCAGCTTCTGAGTCTCCAACGCCGACCTGTTCAAAAGTTCCTGGAAGAAAGATAAAAGCAGATCAAACTTAATTATTGCTACATTATATCATACCAGGATCCTCAAAGACTGATAATCAAAATATATTTCAAAAAACAACCCAAAATGTTCACATAAAATAACAAAAACATAGCTAATAAGGAATACATTCTAAAACTATATGAACCATTTCATTTTTTTATCCAATGAATCTGCAGTTCATCCAGAGTGATCATGGGCCTCTTGACTGCATCTCTGATCAGTCTTCTCCTTGTTTGAGATGAAAGTTTGGAGGGACGGCCGGGTCTTGGTAGATTTGCAGTGATCTGATACTCCTTCCATTTCAATGTAATTGCTTGCACAGTGCTCCTTGAGATGTTTAAAGCTTGGGAAATCTTTTTGTATCCAAATCCGGCTTTAAACTTCTCCACAACAGTATCTCGAACCTGCCTGGTGTGTTCCTTTGTCTTCATGGTTCTCTCTGCGCTTTAAACAGTACCCTGAGACTATCAAAGAGCAAGTACATTTATACGGAGACTTGATTACACACAGGTGCATTCTATTTATCATCATCAGTCATTTAGGACAACATTGGATCATTCAAAGATCCTCACTGAACTTCTGGAGTGAGTTTGCTGCACTGAAAGTAAAGGGGCCGAATAATATTACACGCCCCACTTTTCAGTTTTTTATTTGTTAAAAAAGTTAAAATTATCCAATAAATTTTGTTCCACTTCACGATTGTGTCCCACTTGTTGTTGATTCTTGACAAAAAATTAAATTTTTATATCTTTATGTTTGAAGACTGAAATGTGGCGAAATGTTAACTTTCACAAGGCATTGTACTTTCCTTTGGGTATCAGCAGATTCTTCAAAAAACATAATTAAAGTATCGACCATATCACTATCCATCCATCCATTTTCTTCCCCTTAATCCATTTCTGGGTTGGGGGGGTGGCAGTCAGAGCTGCACCCAGCACACATAGCACAAGCCCCTCACTGATCCTCCTGCAGGCGGTGAGTCCACAGGAGGGCATATCACGAATCAAATCAAATTATAACAGATTCAGATTAATTTTATTTTCACCAGCAGAAGGCCTGTCCCTGTGCCCCTCAGAGTCCGAGCCGGCTCCAACGTGTTGACACCAACATGTTGCATAAGTAGTATGTGAGTGCAAGGCCAGGGAGAGACTTTTACACAAGCGATAACCAAAAGCAGCCCAGCAGTCATTACTGTAACATTACTTATTTATGTGTGAATACATGTAAAAATACAGCTGCAGAGGACACCGTGCTGAGGGAAAGGAGCAGGACTGAGGGCTCCGCGGTTGTGTTACAGGCAGCCACCAATTGTGCAAGTTCCCCCACTTACAAAAAATAGGGAGGCCTCTAATTTTCATCATAGGTATATCTGAACTATAAGAGACAGAATGAGAAAAGATATCCAGAAAAATCATTTTCTGGATGATTTTTAAAGAATGTATTTTCAAATAATGGTAGAAAATAAGTACTTGGTCAATAACAACATTTCATCACAACACTTTGTGAATGACAGAGCTCAAATGTTTTCTGTTGCTGGTATTTTGGCCCATTCCTCCATGCAGATCTCCTCTAGAGCAGTGATGTTTTGGGGCTGTCGTTGGGCAACACAGACTTTCAACTCCCTCCAAAGATTTTCTATGGGGTGGAGATCTGGAGACTGGCTAGGACACTCCAGGACCTTGAAATGCTTCTTACAAAGCCTCTCCTTCGTTGCCTGGGCGGTGTGTTTGGGATCATTGTCATGCTGAAAGACCCAGCCACGTTTCGTCTTCAATGCCCTTTCTGGTTTTTTATAAAAAAAATATCACGACATATGGCCCCATTCCTTCTTTCCTTTGCACGAATCAGTCGTCCTTAGCAGAAAAACAGCCCCTAAGCATGACGTTTCCACCCCCATGCTTCACACTATGGTGTTCTTTGGATGCAACTCAGCATTCTTTCTCCTCCAAACACGACCAGTTGAGTTTTTACCAAAAAGTTCTATTTTGGTTTCATCTGACCTTATGACATTCTCCCAATCCAATGGTGGTCTTGTACGTCTTCCATTTTCTAATAAATGCTCCCACAGTTGATTTATTCACACCAAGCTGCTTACCTATTGCAGATTCAGGCTTCCCAGCCTGGTGCAAGTCTACCATAATTTTTAAATACATTCTTTAAAAATTAGATTTTCTGCAATTTCTTTTCCTCAATCTGTCTCATAGCTGAGGTAAAATTATAGGCCTCCCTCATCTTTTTAAGTGGGAGAATTTTCACAATTGGTGGCTGACTAAATACTTTTTTGCCCCACTGTAACTGTCAAATATTTTTGGAGTATACGCGCTTAAGCCCACTGTAAAAATAGACTGATGTGGACTTTGGTGTTTGAGCTTTTATTGTTGTATTATGTTTGTCTAGGGATCCACTTCATATCATATTACTTATGTTACAGTCTGACATTTCCTGTGTTTTTATGTGTTTTTTATGTTTTTGTGTCTTATGCTGCTCAAGCGACTTGCTCCTGGTCGGATAAATAAATGAGTCTGAATCTGAAAATGTGCAAAATTACACACACAAATCTGCCAAACACCTAGGCTTTAAAAGCCTTCGCTACAGCAAAGGACTTTTAATTTGACTTATTTTATCTATTTTTTTATTTAAATGTTTTTGTGTCAAAAGAAAAAGGTTTCATGTTGTACTGATTTGTTACACATGTATTGCTTTGGGGTCCCGCTCCACAGAGAGATGGAATATTTCCTTTTTGCATGTATTATTATTTTCATTATATTGTTTTGTTCACCTTCTGCAGCCGCTCCTCAGTTGCATTTAACTTCACACGGTGTTGTTCGAGGCAAGAATCCAAATCTCGAATCTTTTCTCCTTGTACTTCAACTTGGTCTGTTAAAACGCTCACCTGGGAAGACATCAGCAGAACACATTCAAAAACATTTATTTATTTATTTCTCTAATGGCTCATCTGGCAAACACATCATTCCAGGCTGTGTGTGTGTGTGTGTGTGTATTTGTGTTATTATGGGGCAGTTTTGTGTGTACCGGACCGTGTTTTAAGATGGCCTTCAGACACTTATCGATGTTCAAGGACATAGAGGCAAATTTTGAACATCACAAAATGTCCTGCAGTTGTTTTTTTTAACGGTCTTTTTGATAATGACTCGGGGTAGCCTGCTGTTCTCATCCAGCACACAAATTACACTGCCTTATTGTTTCAAACTGTGCTTTTCGTTTCTTGCGAGAACTTTTATGTTTCGCAGCGGTTAATAAACAATGGATTAGCCGCTGCAGACTAAAATCAATAAAAGGATATGTATGAGTAGTCGGAGCCAACCTGCAGAATGAGGCACTCTTTGTCACTCTCCAGACGTGACAGACGCTCCTGGTGCGCTGCCTCGGAGCTGTGGCCATTGCTCTGAAATAAAAAAGGTGGAGAAGATACAGAAGTGTTGATGATGTGCAATATGTTCTTCAAGCTAAAAAAGTAATATTAGAGCTGGTTTATAATAGACTATAGTGTGTAAAGAAAGAAAATGTATATATGGATCAGTATTTAAAATGTATATATATTTGTTGGTGATTGATTTGATGGTGATGTCGGCCCTGTAACCAAGCTTACCACACTTGTCACCTGCAGCAGAGATGTGTTAGTGAGCTGTGGGAGAGGAGATGTAGAACTGTTTTGTAATGCACAACTTCACACAAAGGACTAAAGAAAAGTAAAGAAAGTCGACCACAGATCATGTATATTGTTCTTTAGATAACGGCAAAAGAAAAGATAATTATATGGCTGTGAGTGCCTATTCTTTGGGAGTTACAAACCTTCTCCAAATAAAAACCTTTTTACATATCAGGACAAATGGTATAGTTATTATTACAATACATTATTAATGGAGTGAAAAGGGAAGTCAGGGCTCGGCTCATGTGGAAGTTGCATGAAAACTGGCTAAAAAGAACAGTTTCCCTCCGATATTGTAATAATAGAGGGGAGTGGGAGGGAATCACAGGGGAAAGAAAAACACAAGGCCAGACATAAGTCAAGTTTAAGATGGAACATTTTCTGCAAGTGCCCATTTATTAAGTATATTCTTATAGAGAGAAAGCACAAGTGCCAGTGTTTCTCAAACTGGGCCATCTGTTGAGTTTTTGAAAACTGATTATTATTTGCAATATTCAAGATCTAAATATTTTGTGTATTAAGTATAACAATAACATTAAAAGTAACTGACCACTCCACACAGTCGCGGAGGACCCCTTGCATCTATAGACTTTTGATCCTTCTAAAGTGTTGTACCATAGTGCCGTGCAGCCAATCAGCCAGCCCCTCTGCGGTAGAGTCTGGGATCTGGCAACGCAGGTTGTCTCGTTCCTCATTGTCCATGAGCTCCAGCGCGCCCCGCAAGTCCTCCAGGAGGTGCAGCACCCGGAGGCCTCCCAGGAACGGAGTCGTGGGCGATTGGCAATCAAACAGGCCGTTGGAATAATCTATGGCCTTGGAGCCTGGAGGTTTAGGGGAAAACACACTATAATACATCGCCATTCAATAGTCTGTTACACTGATAAAACCAGCCATCAACATTCATTCGTGGAAGCAATCTGGGATAGTTTATAACCTCGTCCATACCTTGCTGACCTCCCACTACTAAAATGAATATGTCGCTACAGCCATGAATCATCCTGTCACACTCACACCATGCAGATTGTGGCTTCAGTTTATTCTGTCATTTAAGTTTAAACTATTATAATGACTAACTTGAACAGCTTATTCAAGTTAAATATAAAAATGAACAATTTGTTAAACTTTCAAGAAAAAAAATACCTTGGTTTTAACAGGCAGAAACCGCTCTGTGCGGGATGTCTTAGTGGTACAAAGTTACAGGACTGAGACAGGACTTTAGACAGAAGGGGTGTTACATGGAGTTTGTGCCAGAAGTTCCTGATATTTGTGTGAATGGATCTAAAAACAACTTCACTGCTGATGAGGGAACAATGCAATAACATGGTTGAAAATATAAACTTGTGTGATTGCAGTGCACTTTGGCGTTGGTAACGACGCCTGCCTTTAAGTTCAGAAGAAAAATAACTAAAAATGAAATATAAAACAAGATGAGTCCAGTTGGCTTTGCCAATCCCTTTAAAGCGTAAATACGTTACGTTTTTTAAAAAGAGGATAATTAAGAATCAAAGTGCAGAAGAAAAAATAAATAAACAATAATAAAGGATAGACCTTTTCATAGTAACACTTTGACACAATAAAAACAGTTTGTTCTCTGCGCCACACCTGAACTGTGATTAGTGCTTCTTTTAGCTCCACTTTGTCTCCTTTAACATACATTGTATGTACTATAAGTGCATATAATTATTTTCTTGAAATAAATTGATATTGCATCAAGTCGACTTTAGAAAACATATTGTGATTACAGTCGAGTGGTCACGTAAAGAAGTAATGATTAGAGTGTTTCTGTTCCATCAACCAGCTGTGGCTGATGGCTGTGGTTTCCGTGGAAACAGGGGGGACTCAGGAAGACACGTGACAATCGCCTCGCTCACTCCCACTGGAAAGGTCAATGCTATAATTACACAAATCAGTCTTTAGCTCTTGTTTGATTGCAAACAAGTTTATATGACTTAAGTTGAAAAAACATTATTTTCAATGTTTCACAGACTTCAGTTGACGTACAAGACATGGAGAAAATGTTAGTTGGTAATGAGGATATTTTTTAAAGCTAATTGTCTTGGTTCCAGCGTTTCATAACCTGCATGAATCTTATTAGTATCAAAGGAGAACGTCAGATCCCTGAAAATGACACAAGGCATAAGAGGACCTTTAAGAAATCTCTGAGAACAATGTCCATGCAGTACATTACCTCATGAACTGTGCAAACCTTATTTTGTTATTGTTTGGTCCCACTATAAGGGCACTATAAGGGTATATTTTCAAGGTGAAACTGTGCAGTCCATGATCTGGTGGCACCATTGAAGCCTGAGTCGCAAAGTTATTTCACACTGACCACATTGTGCTGGACTTTGTATTCTCAGCTTCCCCCTAATGGCTTCCAGATGTGCTCCGACCCCATATTGTGCCATGCACTTAAAAACGTCTGCGGTTACCTGCTATGATGCCATCCATTTGCTCCAGGGCAGCGGCCAACATCTCACTGGCATCAGACATCATGGTCTCCTCCACAAATCTGAAAATTAACAAAAATATCAAGAGATACTGATGGCAAACTATATCAAGCCAATCCATAATACTGCATCGGTGAGGGATATTAATGCTATACTCGATTTTTATGGACAAAGTTTAGTTATTCCCTAAAGATTATATGGTGGCACGGTGAAGTCCCCACTGTAAAATAATAATAATAATAATAATAATAATAATAAAATTCAGACGCTTCACATGTCATTATTCATTCACACCATACACACTGGTGACAAACTACCACAGTAGCCACAGCTGCCATGGGGCACACTGACAGAAGAGAGGCAACTAGTACAGTATGTGCCATCGGCCCCTCCGATCATCATTCACACACACCGGACTCATTCTAGGCAATGTGGGTGACATGTCTTGCCTGAGGACACAACAACAGTTAGGCACTTTACAGCCGCAGCCGCCCCACTGTGGAACCTGGTGTTCCCAAAGGTCTCCCATCACAGTTCTAACCAGGCCCTGCCCTGCACAGCTTCAGAAGTCTGACGGAATCTAGCTTTCACAAGCAAGTATGGCCACAATTAAGACTATTTTAAATCTTATCTTACACAATAACCACTAGATGGGTGCAGCTTTAAAATCTAATTAGAATGATATGAAACTATTTAGCAGCAGAATGTTTAGCATTTCATTTATCTGCTTTGAACCAAACGCGATTACCAGATCAATGGCAAAACATTTCTACAACGTGACAACGCTGATCTTGTTTTATAGCACAAGGGCTCATTCTCACATTGAAAACAAATTACCTCGAATTATGCAGACAATCCAGGACACCCGCGAGCCTATGACGTCACATTCTTCAAACATTACCCAGAATGCCTTGTGTCTGAGCACTGGGTAGTCATGGGTGTTTGGGGGCAGTCCCTGGTGCGCAATAATAATGATGCTATTCTCCTCGGGGTCTCAGGACTGTAGCAGATCTGGCATGTCTGGCATCTTAAACTCGCTAACATACAATCACATGTTTCTCATTCTGCAGTTATTCATGTCTCACTTTGAGCTAAATCTGATTTGAAAATAAAAGAAAAGTCTATGGACAACAAGGGCCCAGTTTGAACATCGCCTTCTGTTGGAGGAGGGGTATTAGCAGCCTGTCTTACTTAATTTCCTGTCACTCGGAGGTCAACGTGTGTCAGACTTTGAAAGTATAATTGAGATGTAATTACTCTGGAGCGAGTCATGAAGAATCCCTTTAGCTGAAGGAGCTCACTTCACTTTAACTGCCCCAGTGATTTTGTACGTGGAACAAATGGCTTCTCTAAGTATTACAGTGAAAAGCAAAATCACACACAATTCACATAACTAGATCGTTCATCCAATGTAAACACAATAAAGACCCCCCACAAACACTCTCGCTGGGTCAGTGACAGAATATCCTTTCTACAGCTTCAGAACCAATGGTGGCGTACATTCTAGCATTTACAGTATTTGATGGTATTATTATTATTATTATGTTCAAGATAGATTATATACTTGCTTCTTTGTTGCTAGAGTTAGAGATTTTGTCTTATCTTAATTAGCTTTTGTTCATTTATCTTGTGCAGCGTGCTCCTCACTGTCCATAGGCCTCTGACTTGTTTGTGTATTATTTTTATCTGTATGTTTTAAATGTGAAGCGGTTTGTGATCCTGCTCTGTGAAAGGTTCTATACAAATAACTTACTTGCTCATTCCTACTGTTCTGTAACTTGTGATGCAACACGAAAGTTTCCCCGCTGTGGGATGAATAAAGGATCTTTAAACCCATCCATCCATTTTCTTCCCCTTAATCCATTTCTGGGTCGGCGGGTTGGCCAGAGATGCCACCCATGGCACCAGCCCCTCACTGATCCTCCTGCAGGTGGTGAGTCCACAGGAGCCTTGATCTTTCAGTGAGGGCTTCAGGCAAAGTGGGGTTAAGTGTCTTGCCCAAGGACACGACGACAGCAGTCATCAGTGGGAGTCGGTGGAGAAGGTCTTGTGATGGGCTCGAAGCTACAATCTTCAGGCTCAAATGCCAACGCTCCAGTAACTGAGCCACTGTCGCCCCAAATCTCTTATATTTATTTGGAGACAAGATACTTAATTTACTATGGCTTCAAGAAAAATTCTATGCGACTTGTTTAATTTAAACATAAAACTTTGACTGTTTTATTGACCGTTTTTGACTGTTTTTACTGCTTTATGCCGTTTATGCAACACTTTGTAAACACTGTTTCTTAAAAGTGCCATACAAATAAAAGATGTATTATTATTCTCATAAGGAAAACATCTTCAAATAGCGTTGATGTGGTAAGGCTGTCACGTCACTATCTTTCTCCCTGATGTGTTGCCAAATGTGACACGTACAGTTCTCCATTGTGAGATCAATAAAGCTTTTCTCATCTAATTGAATCCATATTAAATCCATATTAAAATGGATTGGCAAACTAGGCTCTCAACCCAAACCCAGTATGATTGGGAAATGCAAGCCTGCCAGCATGAATATTGCTTGAATAATTATACAAAAGAGAGAAAAAAAACCAAATCGTCAGCATGTATACTATTGTTAAAGTATTGCAAAACTAACTAATAATAATGATAACAGCTAAAAAATAAATAGACGATCAATGAATATGTTCCTTCATGTATTGGTCTATCAGTACATTGGTCTTGTAAAGGTGCTTGTGGAGAACCATCATTTCCAGAGAATGCCAAGTATATTTTGTCAGCTGTAAGTTCGCTAAGGCAAGACCAGCCAGAGCATGTCCTCCCCCTGAGAATGTGACTTATTTTGTTATGATTATAAATATTTTCTTCTTTTTCCCTTGAAAGTAAAACAACAAGGCAGTGATATTTTGCTTTGTTTATTCAAAAGTGAATACAAAAGAAGCTTTGTTCAACTTTTCAGATAGAGAGCTTCTTTTCCTGTAATGACTACCATCCTAAATAACAATCCTATCTATCCATGTTCTAATTAAATCACTCAGGAAACAATTGAGAATGAATGTAATCAAATATAATTAATTTTAGATCCCACTGTTCAATGGAGAGAATTTAATACGCTCCTGACGATGTATTATGTTGGTCATATGAGTGCAGCGAGGCCAACTATTACCATCTTATCTTCTTCTTGCCATGTGCTTTGACTTACTAATTTGATAATAAAAACTATAATGTATGACTTATAGAGGTCTCAAACTAAAATGCTTGCACAGGGAGTGTTGATAAGACCTCATATGGGAGCATGTGCATTCCTCCAAACCTGGAGAGGGCATCTCCGTGACCCCTGACCCCACCATCTTTCAACAGACCTGCGAAAACTCAACAGTACCACCCATAAAGCAAATGGTTCTCATTGGGCAGCCAGATATATTGCTATCCAATCAAAATCTTAACAATCAAATCACATAAAAATGTTGTTACTGTTGCCGTGACATAACACTCAAATTCAATTAAACAATGATACGTAATTCAAACTGGCAAAAAAAATACTGTTTCACCTGCAAGTCAAAGCCAATTCCTGTCAGACCTCTGAGGTAAAGCAGGGCAGGGTCTGGAAATAGAACTGTGATGGGAGACCACTGGGAACACAGCATGCCACACTTGGGCAGCAGTTGTTGTGTCCTCAGGCAAGGCACTTCGGCCACATTGCCTAGTTGTGTGTAAATTTGCCAATCAAGTTTAAGAGATCCTTATTCGTCCCACAGTGCGGAAATGTCAGTGTTGCATCACTGTAGGAATGAGGAGCACACAACACAACATAAGTGAATATTAAGTATAAGACAATGCTATACTTAAACGAGATAAAGATACAGATCATTTAAGTCTGTATTGAGCTTAACAATTGAAGTGCTGTGTTGACTGGGGACAACATTGGGAACGGCATGTTGTTTGAACCCACGTTAGCTTTTCACCACAGGATATGTCAAAAATAAATAGGTCAAACACTCAAAACAAGTCTTCAAGTCACCGTGCAATCTTATTACAAATATGTTCAAGCTCATCTTTACACGGGAACATGTATGAAGAAAAGAATAGCAACTGAAACAGCCCAAACACAGATACACTGTCATTATGCAAAGTATTTTGTGTGACTTGTGTGCAGTTTTGACCTTCTTCTAAACCACACGCAACAAGCCATAAAACAGTTTGATTTGACTTTGGTCTTTTAATACCTCTAAGACTACGTTGCGACGGTGGTTTAAACGGTGAGTTCTGACCCAACGCCATTGGGGCTGTGTGGTTAGGGTCATGAGGTTGTTGCTTATTGGAATGATCCCAACCCAATACAGACAAAAACATCAGACAGAACACATAGCAGGACATATACCACACACTGTACAGGTTATTGTTACAGGGGGCAGTGAAATGAAAAGTGGGGGATGGACAAGGCAAGGAAACAGGAAGTGAGTGAGTGACCTGCAGAGAGTGGACAGTTTGTAAAACACACCCGCCTCCAGCAGAGCAGATGTGCAACAATCCCACGCTTTTGTTTGCAACCACAGTTTGAAAGGCCACTTATGCCAGCAGCAGGCGTACGTGCAGCAGGGGCCAACACAATCAGCAATATACTCGAGAAATGTTCCCAAAGAGGTGGACATTACGTGATTACAGCACTCTATTAGAACCACTCACCAAGGGGTACTTACTACTTTGAACAGTTGTAAGTCTGTAAGAAATGTAATATCATTGCAAAGGTTTGTTGTACTGTATAATATTCAAACAACATGTATTAAACAACTATCCAAAAGAAGGGGTGTGTGCAGCAAAAAGTGTGTTGGAGTGTGCAACAAAGTTCACACGATACTTGAGGCAAAAAGGGTCTGGAACCACAGGCCCAACAAAACCAGCTAATCAGACAAATACCTCAAAATCGGTTCATTTAAAATTGACAATGCATGGAGGATCAGGGTATTCTCTATAAAACTAAATCCAATAATATTTCAATAATATTTTGTATTTAACTTTTCAGAAAGAGTCTTGTAAAAGTCAAAGTTACAAACAAACCAGACCGCGACATAATGTCTTTATCTCATTACAAAAACATGTTGTATTTTGCATAAAAATCTGATCTAAAGATGTGACTGAGAACAATAAATACGAAGCATGAGGAAAGTAGTGATGAACCAAAATATTTTAAGAGCGAGGAGCTAGTTTGAGGTGGTTTGAAAGTTAAGTACACCAGCTTTTAGCATCAGTTTTTGCACAATTATCACAGGTTGGATGAAAGCTTATTTAAGACTGTGACATCAAGAATGTTTTAGTCAGTGTCACTCCAGCCATGTGTGCTCCAACTGCACTTTTACCTCTGATGAATGATTACACATTTGCTTCACTGCCCATGTGCAGTCAGTGTTTTGGGGGTCAGTCATGTGGAAATCAAACTCCATTTCAGTCCTAATGTCATTGTTTACCTCCCAAGACATTTTCCCACTCCAGTCTGACATCTTCACAGACAACGCTAATACATTTATGTGAGTTCTGTGCACAAACACCTCTTTGTCATTCAGACACTCCAAGCAGAACCCGGACCCTGCGCCAAAACTACAGTACTACACCACATCACATTTTCCACTCTGCAACTTCCCAGTCGCAGAGAAGTGGAAAGGAAAAAGATCATGGCAAAAAAGGAAGGAAACAGGATAATATAGTGTGTGATATCAAATGGAGGGATGCAAGCTCTTACACCTCAAAGCTTTCTGACAATAAAATATGACTTTCAAATTGTAACAAAAAGAGAAAGCCATTCAAGATGCATCCTCTGAGCCAGGAAGAACCTTGGCTCTGCTGGGACGCGTTTCCTGCCACCTTCTGGAAAATGGCTTCCTCATCGTCCCAGAGAGAAATATTCAGTAAGAAAATAATTGCATTTAAAGCTTTGTTGAGATGACTTAATATTTGAGAGGGATTAGTTACCAGCAAGAAGACAACTTTTAATTCAAATCATATGCAAAATACCACAAAGTCAATTCACACCCCACATTACTTGAGATACTCCAGGAGCAGCTATGTGAGGAATGCGGTCTTTATAGATACTGGGGATTGAATAAACTTGTTGGAAAATGTCAAAGAGTGAACAGTTCAGAGTCTGGTTATCTATATAGTATTTTCTTTTACAGACAGAATAGAAGAACTAAAAAAAACGCATTGTTATTATTATTATTATTATGGATATTACTTCATGCCGTACAGTTTATGCTCTGTATATCTGTGATCATAACCGGCTGGTATATGAATGTGAAATATAAGTAGATTCTATGTCGTTTTTTTCCCCCTGACAATAAACACTGTCAAATTCGAAGCAGCCAGCCAGACCTCGTACAAATATGGTTACAGTTGAGAAGGACGGGAATCAAATCCTTTGTTATGCTTTTAGCCCTGGCCTCATGAGAAGTGGAGTGGGGCAATTGCCAGATGTCTTTTCCTTTGAACAGCAACGGTCAAATTGATTTTCTTTTTTAGTAAAACACAATGAGTGTAGCAGGATTTTTCAATAGTCCAATCATGATGTGTCCTGCTTGCATTTGAAAGCACACTGATTCAATCATTGTAAACAAAGGTAATGCCAATGGAGGTCTTGAACCCAATTCATTCGCTTATTTTACATCAATATCAAGCTAAAAGTTTAGTTTTTGGATTATTTTTTTTTATTTCATTTTACATTTGCACAACTTTACCTCAACGATAATAAGTGGAATCTGTTCAAAAGGGAAAAAAAGGATATTGGATGGATTGGGAAAGGTAGCCAACTAAAAGGCTCAAAACTTCAAACAAAAATCAGAAGCATGAAGTTAGTGGTCTTACTGACTCACGGGTCATTCAAGACATAAAATATACCATAAAAACACCATGCGACGTTGTACTTACGCGTTTGACAGAGACGCGACGGGGTCTGGTGCATTGGCGTTTGTTTTCTAACGGGGCATGGCTCAGGGACTAACTTTCATTCAGTTTTTCTGCCCTGCTGAAGTTTCGACTCAAACTTCAAATCCCGAGCGAATGACGTCAAGTAGCGCAGAAGCAGGAGCGTGAGTCTGCAACGAGCGGCGTCTTCAAAGTAAGAACAACTCTGTCAAAGTAAGAGCACTGTGCCTTTATTGTTATGTAGAAGTTTAGGACTAGTGATAACAAAACAACTCCTGATATTGACTTGAACATGACTTGCAGGAGTAGAAACGTCATGTACCTCTCGGTTTATAGAGCGGGAGCAAAATAAGGACTAGAACCTTATAATAGATCTATGACTAGAACCTATGAAAAATGATGCAGACGTTGTAGCAGCCAGTAGATGGGGATAAAGTTCAGTTAATGATATAAGGGCGTTCTTTGAGGAGCGCCCCTCCCGCCCCGCCACGCCACGCCCCATTAGTTTACGTTACAAGAGTATGATGGGTTATGGTTATGGTATGATGATGATGATGATGATGATGGTAATATCATTATTGTTATCATCCATACATTTCCCCCCAGAGATGGTTGTTTTCCTTGCCCTGTTAGGAACAGGCAGTTACACTTACACATCAACATTTTCACTGGCCCAATCAACAATAATAATCAGAAAAAACAAAACTACTGTTAATTGTATATCACATAGCATACTCATGTTTATTAAAACTAAACAGCATTATTATGTAAAACTCTTGTCATGACACACAATCAGCAAGGAGGGAGAAGACTTGATCCTGGCAAAGTCAGCCTCACTGTTAAACCACTGGGCCTTATATTGGCCAGGACTCGTGCCTCTCTTCATTAGCCTTCTCTCGTGTGATTTCTGTCAGCATGTCTTTCACCATTAGTTGAATTTGACATTGGTGCAACATGATGTTACACCATCAGAACATTAAAAATCATGAACTGTTGCATAATCTTTGTCACCCTGTCACATCTCCTGTGCATGTGAGTCCATGTTGTGCACGGAAAAAAGGGGCACACCACAAATAGTTGTGGACTTGCTGACATCCCTTAATTACCCCTCGCACCAACAGGCAATAATAACAACCGTTTTCCCAGCACAGAGCAAGAAGAGAAAATGTAATATTCTGGACAATGACAGGTGACAGACAGACAGACACACACACACACACACACACACACACACACATTACATGCAGAAAGATTCCACGGTACGCAACGCGTTACAATGCGTGAAAAGTATTGTAACGCATTGCTTAAGTAATGCTTTCATGTCCCGGCCCTAATACATTGCACACACATTTACAAGATACAAGATACAAGAATATATTTGCCATTTGTAGTACAACCACATTGGAAAAACTGTGCAGGACTACCCCAGTGTGTACCAACGGCACACACCAGAGCTCTTGGCACGGGGCCATCTTTACGGCGCCTTGCATGTTAGTTACTTGATTTATTGAAGACATTCTTTCACACAGGAGAACTCAAAACATCACCAACATTCAAGCTATCAACTGCACCAGAAACACATTCCCCATTCTTACCCTGCATAGATCTGCAGTGCATCATGTCAGCAGCCACAGGTCCCAGTGAAGTACAACACTGGCTGGTCTTAAGTCCTTCCCTGGCTAACGAGTTTGTATTTTATTTAATCTTTGTGTTCCCTGCCTCTATAATCATATTATTTCATATTGTCTTTGTCAATCGGGGAAAGGAGTCAGAAGGATTGACCAATCCGATTCCTGATTCCAGGGTTAAAAATCGGCTTCTTTTGCATCTGGCAAACACTATGTATAGCAGTTTCCCCAAACTTCCACACAATAATTTAAATATGACATAATGAAAGAATGATACAATAACAATTGAGCATTTGTGTTCAGTGAGTGACTTGCTCTTCTCCTCGCTCCTTCAATACAGACTTCTTTTGCTTTCTCTATCTTTTACAAGTGTTAGTATTTGCCCTTAACTTTAAAGGCAGTTGACAGATACAACACACCTTTGTTTCATGTAAATCCACTGGGATGGTGAAGTCTCAAATACAATATTACATATTACATACAAGGGCGACAGTAGCTCAGTTGGTAGAGCATTGGCCTTTGGCCCTGAAGGTCGTGGGTTCGAGCCCACCGTAAGACCTACTTCACGACTCCCACTGATGACTGCTGTCGTTGTGTCCTTGGGCAAGACACTTAACCCTACTTTGCCCAAAGCCCCCACTGAAAGATCTCAGCTCCTGTGGACTCACCACCTGCAGGAGGATTAGTGAGGGGCTGGTGCTCTGTGGACTGGGTGCAGCTCTGACTGCCACCCCCCCGACCCAGAAATGGATTAAGGGGAAGAAAATGGATGGATGGATATTACATACATAATATATTTATGGCCCAGCTATGTTCCACAATTCTTGTTGACATGGTGATAGTTTTATTCCGCCAGGAGAAAGAATGATTTTCTTGTAATCATATGAAATATATATCCACTTGCCTATGTAAATTGCTGTGTGTAGCGACATGATTTGTCTCTGTGGCATTTACTGAGGTTCCATGTGTGCTTTCCCCAGAGCCCACCATCTGGAAAATGGCAGTGTTATTTTCAGCGATACTTTAAAAGCTCAAAGAAATCAACACGTCTCAAAATGCAGATTTACTTATTTTGTCCACAGTTTTTCTGTCAGATATGTTTTATATTCCAATGCTGGGGTGGGAGATCCACTACAGACCTGTGCAGTTGGTGGGAGTTGTTGACCATGATTGAGGTGAGTTTGGCTAAAACCCTGGTGTCTCTCACCTCATCCATAGAGTCCAGGGAGCAGCCTAGAGCGGAACTAGCCCTCCTGACCAGCTTGTTCAGATTACTCCTATCCCCCTCCTGAGCAGCTTCAGGAGTGAGCAGGCCCCCCGAGCAGAGGCCTACTCACTCCAAAGGACCGCTGCCTCCTCAGAAGGAAGAGGGGCGTCAGGCCCTTCTGGTACAGGGTGTTCGTGTTATGGGACCAGTCCTGTTTATTTATTAATGTGAATACCCAGGTACTTGAAGCTGTCCACCAGCTCAATGTCCTCCCCCTGGATGTTCAGCGGCGTGTGGGAAAGTGGTTTTCTCCTAAAGTCGATGTCCATCTCCTTACTCTTACTGGTGTTCAAGCAGTAGTTGCGCTCACACAACCTGGAATTAACATGGATTGTTTAAGGATTGGCATCAGTTAATTTACAGAACATGCCCACAACTTTGAAGATATTGTCTTTTTTTTATTGTGAAGCAAACAACAAATAGGACAAAATAACAGAAACGGTCAATGTGCATAACTATTCACCCCCCTAAAGTAAATACTTTATAGAGCTTTATACAGCTCCAAGTTGCTTTGGATAAGTCTCTATGAGCTTTCCACATCTTACAACTGGGATGTTTGCCCATTCCTCCTTGAAAAACTGCTCCAGCTCCTTCAAGTTGGATGGTTTGCGCTTTGCGTGAACAGCAATCTACAGTCTACAGTCTGACCACAGATTTTATGTTGGATTGAGGTCTGCGCTTTGACTAGGCCATTCCAACACATTTACATGTTTTCCCTTAAACCGCTGAAGTGTTGCTTTAGCAGTGTGTTTGGGGTCTTTGTCCTGCTGGAAGGTGAACCTCCGTCCTAGCCTCAAATCACGCACAGAGTGGTACAGGTTTTGCTCAAGAATATCCCTGTATTTAGCACCATCCATCTTTCCCTCAACTCTGACCAGTTTCCCAGTCCTGGCTGCTGAAAAACATCCCCACAGCATGATGCTGCCACCACCATGTTTCACTGTGGGGATGGTGTTCTTTGGGTGATGTGATGTGTTGGGTTTGCGCCAGACATAGCGTTTTCCTTGATGGCCGAAAAGTTCAATTTTAGTCTCATCAGACCAGAGCACCTTCCTCCATACATTTTGGGAGTCTCCCACATGCCTTTTCGCAAACTCAAAACGTGCCATTTTGTTTTTTGCTGAAAGTAATGGCTTTCTTCTGGCCACTCTGCCATAAAGCCCAACTCTATGGAGCGTACGGCTTATTGTCGTCCTATGTACAGATACTCCAGTCTCTGCTGTGGAACTCTGCAGCTCCTCCAGGGTTACCTTAGGTCTCTGTGCTGCCTCTCTGATTAATGCCCTCCTTGCCCGGTCCGTGAGTTTTGGTGGGCGGCCGTCTCTTGGCAGGTTTGCTGTTGTGCCATGTTCTTTCCATTTGGTTATGATAGATTTGATGGTGCTCCTGGAGATCAAAGATTTGGATATTTTTTTATAACCTAACTCTGACTTGTACTTCTCAACAACACTGTCCCTTACTTGTTTGGAGAGTTCCTTGGTCTTCATGGCAGTGTTTGGTTAGTGGTGCCTCTTGCTTAGGTGTTGCAGCCTCTGAGGCCTTTCAAAAAAGGTGTGTATATGTACTTGTAACCCTTTTAACTGATGTAGTCAGAAAAAATCTAAATCTATATCAATCTGGTCTATGTCTACACAATTTAGGGTTCTATTAGCTTCGATTTGTAAGGAGATTGGCAATGACAACTCTAGGTTATAAAGAGTAAAATGAAACCTCCAACCACAATAAGAGACACCGACAACTGTATTTCAATCTGAAGAGACCAAAGACACGATAAATACATTAAAATGATTTATTTGTTTGGCGCATTGACCCCGGCAGTGACACTTGCAGCTATGAGATCGATTTCAGCTGAGATGATCTCAGATCCCCCGGGGTCAATCACTGGTGGTGGCTAGAGTATGGTGTGAATGGGGCGTAGGCGGAGCAGGAGCCGGAGTGGGAGCCTAGAGCGGGAGCCAGAGCGGGAGCCAGAGCGGGAGCCAGAGCGGGAGCCAGAGCGGGAGCCAAGAGCCAGAGGGGGTGCTGGGGAGGTGGTGGGTGTTTAAGAGCCTCAGGAAGCGTTGTTTGTCAGGAAGTGGCTGCCTTTTAAACTGCCCGCTTTGCTCTGAGAGGGTTGGCAGGAGGCTGGCCTGGCTGTGTGATTGGCTGAGGCTCGAGGCTGGCAGAGCTGTGTGATTGGCTGAGGCTCGAGGCTGGCAGGCACTCGGTCTTTCAGTCTGAACATCCGCTTGAGCTTCATTTCAATCTGAAGAGACCAAAGACACGATAAATACATTAAAATGATTTATTTGTTTGGCGCATTGACCCCGGCAGTGACACTTGCAGCTATGAGATCGATTGCAGCTGAGATGATCTCAGATCCCCCAAAAGAGGAAGCCACGCTATGTGTGCCGGGGAATGCGCAGGCCTCCCGTGGGAAGCTGCCTATCTGGAGGCGTGGGAGCCTTGCATCGGGGCAGCATTGCATCGGGGCAGCATTGCATAGAGGCAGCATTGCATAGAGGCAGCATTGCATAGAGGCAGCATTGCATAGATTGCATAGAGGCAGCATTGCATAGAGGCAGCATTGCATAGCGGCAGCATTGCATAGAGGCAGCATTGCATAGAGGCAGCATTGCATAGAGGCAGCATTGCATAGAGGCAGCATTGCATAGAGGCAGCATTGCATAGAGGCAGCATTGCATAGATTGCATGGAGGCAGCATTGCATAGAGGCAGCATTGCATGGATTGCATAGAGGCAGCATTGCATAGAGGCAGCATTGCATAGAGGCAGCATTGCATCATTGCATGGAGGCAGCATTGAAGCATTGCATGGAGGCAGCATTGAAGCATTGCATAGATTGCATGGAGGCAGCATTGCATAGATTGCATGGAGGCAGCATTGCATAGATTGCATAGAGGCAGCATTGCATAGAGGCAGCATTGCATGGATTGCATAGAGGCAGCATTGCATAGAGGCAGCATTGCATCATTGCATGGAGGCAGCATTGCATGGAGGCAGCATTGCATGGAGGCAGCATTGCATGGAGGCAGCATTGCATGGAGGCAGCATAGCATGGAGGCAGCATAGCATGGAGGCAGCATAGCATGGAGGCAGCATAGCATGGAGGCAGCATAGCATGGAGGCAGCATAGCATGGAGGCAGCATAGCATGGAGGCAGCATAGCATGGAGGCAGCATTGCATGGAGGCAGCATTGCGTGGAGGCTGCATTGCATGGAGGCAGCATTGCCTGGAAGCAGAATTGCATGAACAGGATACAGAGAATATGCGGGGGTGACAAATCCGCACGCTCTGTAATGATTATGCGTGTGTGAAGCGTTGGCCCTTGGAGCGTGCGGAGGGTTTCTCGCGCACAGACCGCTTCGTGAGGGTGCATGTATGACGTAGGCCGCAGGGGATCTGTGGGAACAGACACTCACTGAATGAGCGGCTATGTGATCATGCGTGCGTGGTGGATGTATGAAGTGAAGAGTAAATGCGTGTAATCGCAGAGCTGATGCGGGCTCTGCGTGTTGAGAATGTGGAGCAGCAATGTAGAGAGCTTTCTCATACAAGATCTGCTATATTTGAGCATGCGTGTGTCAGCGTATGATACAGAGAATATGCGGGGGTGACGAGGCCGCACGCTCTGTAATGACTATGCGTGTAGAAGCGTGGGCCCTTGGGGCGTGCGGAGCTGCCTCTCGCGCACAGGCCGCTTCGTGAGGTGCGTGTATAGCGTGAGCCGTAGGGGGTTATGCAGAGAAGCTTCTCTGCACAGAGCGCTGCGGTGAGCATGAATGTATGATGTAAGACAAGGTGATCATATGCATGTCCGGATTGAAGTGCAACGATGTTGAGAATGCTTATGTGAGAGAAGAGCCTTAGCCACCACCAGAGTATTTGATAATTACCTCAGATTGAAGAGGGAGCGCTGAGCAGTCAGAATAGTGTCAGTGTTTAGTCTGATAGAGGATGAGGCAGGACCAAGCCGTGGACCATTGACCCATTTGCTGTAGGGAAGAGTGAGGAAGGCCCAGCAGGCTGGAGTGCGGCGGCTATTCTAATCCAGCGGCCGGCATTGGAGAATCGGGAGATCACAGGAGACCGGCCGGATTTATTAAATGGGCTTGGATGCATTGCGCAAACATGACGTCATTTGACAGAGAGAGAAATAGCAGCCCATCTGAATCTCCTCTCCGTGCATGGAGGAGTGCATTTCATCAGGTGTTTATCTGGACAGGGGAAAAATAATGCATAATGAAAGTGTGACGGCACCTTCCTTTTGGAGTGTTGAATGCAGGGATTATAGTGATAGGGGTAATAAGTCCTTGGGGCCAGGGTGCAGCTAACCACTGGCCTTGATATGACCCCCAAAAACCCACGGACTGAGCCGCGTCCGTGAAAAAGAAATAAGTAAGTGGAAGAGGCGGTGCCATCATGAAAGACGCCGTTCCGGCAGGCAGCAGCTGAAGCTGAGGTCAGCGCAGCACCTGCGAACAGGAAAACAGGGTTGCAGAGCGCGCAGGAGCCTGGGGATGAACCACGGCCTGAGGAATGACGTGCACTGCGAGGATGAGGCGGCCCAGCCGGAAGAGCAGCACCTGTTTGGGACGTGACAGAGGACAGGACGGACCAAGAGACCTTGGTCCTCCTCCTCCTATCCCCTCTCTCTCCATGTCCAAGCTGAGGGAGCATCTACGAAACCTTCGATGAGGGTCATCACGTGTGCCGGGTGGCCAGTGTGACGGCCAGACGCCTGCCCGGCTTGAGATGGACGAGCCCCGCGTAGGAAGGGCATGCCCCGCGCGGGAATGACAGGGCCTATTGCTACGAGAATAATTCGCAAGGCGCGGCCGTGCAGCAAGAGCGCCCTGCAACATAAGGGAGAGATTAAACAAGAACCGACCGAATCTCCTTCTGGACAGGAGAGAGCTATCTTGATGCAATTAGGAACTCAGAACGACGGCAAAGAGCGGCCACGGAGCAGAATAAGTACGAACAGAGCGGCACCTGAGAACGAGCAGTAGAGCGAGCAACCGTTACGATGACTCAGAGCCATGAGAGTGCGGCAGAGAGCATGTGACCGTTGTGGATGCTGCCCCCCGACTCCACGCGGAGAATCGGAGAGAGATCGCCCGTATGAGGCGCAGGGCGGATCAATTGCACGCGGCAGCAGTGAGGGAAGGCCAGAGCACGTGGAGGATCCGGAGCAAACCGGCCGGACGAGGGGAGAACATGCAAAACTCCGCACGGAGGTGGAACAAAGCATAAAACTACTTTTGATAATCGACACCAGCCTGCTCAGGATAAAATGAAACACACTGCTAAAGACCTGGGGCAACGCGTCCCTATGAGCAATATTTACTGTACACGGAGGGGGCTCGAGGATTTCAGTACGAGGGCCGCTTCAGTCCGCCAAACTAGTCCCGGGGCCGACACGTAGGCAAAACCGCATTGGACTGGTCCGAACTTTAGGACAAACTATGAAAGAACTGAAGTTGGCTGATGACGACCTCCTGTCGTCTCGCTAGCAACAGATTAGCGGAGATTCGAGCCCGACCGGGAACAACAACATCTCAGAACGGGTTACGACACGTCTATATTGGCTGCGCTGAAGTAGAATGGACGACACCGAATAAGTATTTACGAACCCAGATTCCCTTGGCCTCAGTTGGAACAGGTTGTCTTTTAACGGAATAGCCCGACGACCAGCGAAGGTAACTCACATCATTCATTGCAAAGCATCTAATCATAATTACGATTAAACTAAGGAAAGTTTGACGAGAGCAGAGACAGCCCTGATGAGAACTGAGCGAAGCGAGCTTAAGACTATAAAACACATACGCATATACATATACATAATATATATGCACGCACGTATACTACGTACCTACATGTGCATGCACATATACAAGTCGAGTCCCTCCATGGCCTCGCACCAACATATAGTAGAGACATGTTAGTCCCATATGAACCAGCCCGGACTCTGAGGAGCACAGGGACTGGACTCCTGTTAGTGTCCAGAGTCAGAACTAACGTGGGTAGGCTGCCTTTCAGATTCACGCTGCTAAAATCTGGAACAATCTTCCTGAAGATGCGAGACAGGCCTCCTCTCTGACAATGTTTAAGACAAGGTCAAACATATATTTCTATCCTTTTTAATGTTCTGTGAATATCTATGATTTTAATGCTTTCTTATTTTGTTCAGCACTTTGAATTGCCTTGTGTATGAATTGTGCTATACAAATAAACTTGCCATGCCTTGCTATACAACATGCATTCACATACGCCATTATGCGCGTGACAGGGCCATGAAGCTAAACGCACTTTCTTCACCTTATGGGAGCGTCCAAATCAGACAGGCGTCAAAACTGCAGATTCCTCTTCACCCTGAGCGAGCAATATTACATTAGGCCTTTGTCTAGGGAGCAACCAAATCAGAGAGGCGCCAAAGCTGCAGATTCCTATTCACCCTGAACGTGCAATATGTCGTTAAGCCTCGGAGACCGATACATTAAGCCTTAATACGAACAATTCGGGCCTTAGAAGGAGACTGATTAGGGAAGACTCCAAAATGTAATTTTGCATGCCACCAAGCACGCTGGAGTTTGAACTGTCTCACGGAGGAGACTTGAGCAGCAGTGACACGGAGCCTGGACGTGTTTAAGGAGCGGCGCCAATAAGCACTGACGAGCAGATCAGAGCGGGTCAAAGCAGGAACAGACCCCAAACAAACGATGGCACGGGACAATCACGGGCCCGGGACAAGCACGTACGACGCAACCACAATGCGATTCATACGGGCAAACAGACCATGTCACGCCAGCGTGCGCCGCTTGTCTCTGTGAGCCAGGTTACATACGTGTCTGAAAGAGCCGAGTCGTAGAGAGGTGCAGCCTGGGAGCGGCAGCGGCAGGAACAGCAGCAGCGGCACGTGTAGTAGTAGGAGCAGCAGGAGCAGGCAGCAGGAGCGGCAGCAGGAGCAGGCAGCAGCAGGAGCGGCAGCAGGAACAGGCAGCAGCAGGAGCGGCAGCGGAACAGGCAGCAGCGGGAACAGGCATCAGTAGGAGCAGCAGGAGCAGGCAGCAGGAACAGGCTGCAGCAGGAGCGGCAGCAGGAACAGGCAGCAGCAGGAGCGGCAGCGGAACAGGCATCAGTAGGAGCAGCAGGAGCAGGCAGCAGGGACAGGCAGCGGTAGGAGCAGCAGGAGCGGCAGCAGGAACAGGCAGCAGCGGGAACAGGCATCAGTAGGAGCGGCAGGAACGGGGAGCAGGCATCAGTAGGAGCAGCAGCGGGAACAGGCATCAGTAGTAGCAGCAGGAACGGGGAGCAGGCATCAGTAGTAGCAGCAGGAACGGGGAGCAGGCATCAGGGAACAGGCATTAGTAGGAGCAGCAGGGACCGGCAGCAGCGGCGGTCAGAGAACCATGCCCATGGTTGTTTAAGAGCCTCAGGAAGCGTTGTTTGTCAGGAAGTGGCTGCCTTTTAAACTGCCCGCTTTGCTCTGAGAGGGTTGGCAGGAGGCTGGCCTGGCTGTGTGATTGGCTGAGGCTCGAGGCTGCTCCAATAAATTTTGTTTCACTTTCACGATGTTGTGTCCCATTGTTGGTGATTCATGACAAAAAAAATGGAATTTTTATATCTTTATGATAGGAGCCTGAAATGTGGCAAAATGTTGAAAGGTTCAAGGGGGCGAATACTTTCGCAAGGCACTGTAATACATAGTGTACATGTTTGAACTCATACAGATTCGATTCTCTGATCTGTTGTTGGCGATATGGTCAACTTTTGTAAACAGCTTCTGGCTGACTGCTGTTGTGATTATGGGATATAAGAATATTAATTTTATATTTCGTTATCTTATGTTTTTTTATTTTTTTTATCATTTTTTTTTCGCTTCTGTTCAGCACTTTGTTAAGCCTAGGTGTTTTAAATGTGCTCTACAAATAAAGTTGATTGAATTGATTGATTGATGAATTGATTGATTAGCAGTGAAGCTTGGCCCCCATTAATCAGTGATTGGGGAATTGGAGTTGGAACTTTTGGTCTTGTCTGTATCCTTTTTGCACTTTATGACTTGATGTATTTGTCTTAAATTGTAAAATATCTGTGCCATTGCCTGAAATACACACCAAAAAATGAAAAATGAAATGAAAAGGAAATAGTCTGCATTGTGGTAAATGTCAATCTCTTCGATTTTCTTGACTTGGGGTGAAAGTGAATCGGACCTCAATGCCTCTTCTGACGGTGGCAGCTATCCATCAGTGGCTGAGAGTGTAACATGATTTATCTTATCGCTGCACTTGGCTCCAGCTGGTGCAGCCGCCCTGAAACCCAAGATGCTCTGTCTTAGGCACGATGCCGTTTCCAGGACAGACACAAGCAAACATCCTCCAGGCCATGGATGCTACAATAGGGATCCCTTTTTAACTTTGTGGTTTTTTCCCTGTATGGCATTATTGCATTGACCGACGATGCAACCCATCGGTTTTCGACGTCTTTCCACAAAATAACAAAAAATGTAATCTTTATTACAGGGCTGTAGACGACCACAAACGTTCCGAGGTCAAACGACTTGGTTCGAACTTAAAAAGTAGACATGGCAAAAGCTCTCCATAACAGTTATGGGTCCCAACCTCAAAAAAACAAAAGGAAGAGAAAGTTGCCATTGCCAAAATCCTTCCTCTTTTTTCCCCTTTAAACTGAAATAAATACCTATTATTCTGTTACGACTTCCTGTTTATATCCCATGTTTGCAGTCGCTCATGAATCTATTATAATCTGTTGATTTACTAATGTATTTATTTTATTTATAATTTGTGTAAGTATATATTTTATTTATAATTTATTGTAATTTATTTTATTTATTTATAATTTGATTTGTATTTATTTATTTATCTCCTCCATCCACTCCTATTTTTACCCTTTAAATCCATTTCTGGGTCAGGGGGGTGGCAGTCAGAGATGCCACCCAAGTTCTCATGCACCGCCCCTCCCCTGACCTTGCTGGTGGTGAGTCCACAGAGATTTATTTATTTAATGGTAATTTTATTATTTATGTATTTATAATTATTTTGTATTTATTTATTGATACTTTCTATTATTCATATAGATTTTTTTAATAGGTATGGACCATAGACATGTAATATAACGCGACAGAGTCACGCCTATCTCGGCCGTTCATTAGGAGTTGGCCATAAAAGTGCTTTCATGGGAGCCAATCCTTATAAATATGGCCGCGAGTGGTTCCCGCTACAATAAAATGTGAAAAAAGCATCTGCGCATGCGGTCAGCTGGCGCAGCTCCATTCATTTACGATTGAGATTCAAAAATTCCCGCGAGTAGTAAAACTAGCGTGGGACCAAAAAAAATCACCCCCCCCTCAGCATTTGACACCACTTGTGAACGGAGCTTTGGGCCAAGAGCCAATTGTGGTCCATCACTGTAAAGTCGTTTTTGAGAGGTATGCAAAGCTCTATGTTTAGTATTGGCTAATTCTTCTTCTGGGTCCACCGCCATCGGCCCGGGGTGGTATTGCAAGCATGTCAGCGCACGCTTTTGGCCACTTTTGAGCTGGGACCCACCCCCACTGTAATGACACTTAAGACACTTTAAAAGTGGTGCTCACCCGCTCCTCGGAGCTTACGTTACTACATTTCTGTTCAAATCGTCCTCTAAATGGGAGTTGCCTGGAGGACTAACGGGGGCGTGAACGAGGACTGGGCCGTTTACTATTGCTCTGGGGCGGGGGGCTGCTGACGTCAGGTACAATTGCAGACGGCAGGGCCAATCTTTGTG